GGGATTCAATATGTCGGGAGCCCATTTGTCGGGAGCCTATATGTCGCGAGTCAATATGAAGGGAGCCCATTTGACTAGGTCGATTTGACGGGGCCGTTTTGTCCAGAGCCGTTTTAACGGCGCATCCTCAAAATGACGTGAGACTTCAGCTTTCAACTTATTAGTATTACTACAGAGTTCAGTATTCACATTTCTAGGAGAGCCACATTTTGCGTATGAGCATTTTTCTGAAAGTACGTTGTCTGATAACCGTATATCAACCACTTTTTTTAAAAATCCACCACCTAAAATCTCCGATTCACCTATCACCTATGCCTAACCCAAGTATGAAGTTTAAAATAAAATAAAAAAAAAAAAAAGCGGCGTTCATTTTGCTTTGTTCTCCGGGATTTTGAAGTCATGGTTTTTAGTAAATCTATTCTATCTAGTTTGCAAAATGGATGCGTTGGATTCGGTTGCTCATGTTGAGCTCTAACCATTGTACGTTGCGAATTACAAGTGATCATATGTTTATTTAAATGTTAAAATATAGAATCTAGATCTAGACTTGATCTCTAAATTCAAGATCTCTAGATTTAGATCTAGATCTAGATCTAGATCTAGGTAAAACTCCATTTTAGCGTATTTTATTCGCCGCTTCACATTCACCTCTGGTTGAGCGTATTTTATTATCAACACAACCAAAGCACACAAACACGTTAGAAAAACACTAGGATTAGAGCTAGATATAGAAATCTAGATCTAGATTCTACTTTTTTTTTGATGAATGTGATTTTTAATTAGAAAAGGTAAAAAAAACAACATGAAAAAGCATTAGGACAGTTCGAATTGAATAGCGTGAAAAAAATCCCTACATGGTCGAGGGTTCACCATGAGTACATTGACTTTCGGTCTTTAATTATTAATTAATTATCAGCATAGGTCACAAACATACATGCATAGTCATAGCACATTCAATATTCCAAATTTGGATTTTTCTAAAGTTTTGACAACAGTAAATTATCAAATATGAAAACAAAAATTCATAAAGAAATGGCCAAGGCTATTCCCAGCCGGTTGGGAATAGCTGTATTGGGGCTATTCCCGGCCGACCGTGAATAGCCCCAATACGGCTATTCACAGTCGGCTGTCATTTCATGCTAAATACGACTGTGAAAAATATCTTAAAATAATAAAAGCATTTATTGTGACTGGGGAGTGAGGTATAGATTAAGAGAGCAGTGCTATTTTTATTTTGTTATAGTTTCACAAAAAAGTTATTAGGCTACCGTTAAAGTTTAGTTTAACTTTTAGGCTCATATCAGACATATCTGCTACAGGCTACGTAGGTCATAGATGATCAATTATGCACTCTAAATCTATACACTAGAATAATAGATCTAGTAATTTTTAAATAAATAATACTAATTAATAGTATTACTCGCTAATTTGGAGGCGTGGTCGGTTGCTAACAACAATATGGCGTCTGGACCGGACGCTTGACTTCCTACGATTTTTCGGCCATATTCCAGAGACCTTCTACTAATTAGTTTTTAAAATGTTTACCACGCGCAAAATGGCGGGACTTTCACGTTATAACAACAAGCAATAGGTGGCAGGGCTATATATGCCAGAAAAGCATTTTAAAATTTGTGTTGGAGAATGAAGGCTAAATTTAAAAGTTGGTTTCATCAAAAATACTAGAACTTTTTAAATATCGATTTCCATATTTAATTACAAAATTGATTTCCATAGTAAAGCATTATTAGTTTTATCAGTCTATAAAAAATAAATCAAATATCGTCAACCGTTTTTTTATAAGACCAGCCAAAAAAATGACAACCAATTTTTATTTGAAAAAAAAAACCACGTGACCACTATTTGGTGATCACTAGTGAAGAACTCTTGTGCATGGCCACTTAAAAAGTCTAACCTGATTTGTGGTTTTCTTTAGCTTCAAGCTTAAGAAGAGTTGTCATGGAGAAATGTGTTGGACATGGCAGTAATTGACAATAAATATTTAATTAAGTAGCCTAATTTAGTTTAAAACGAACTAAAAACTCCAAAGTTAGTGCCTAATGGATTAAATATGGATGTCTATTATTCAGTGGTCATGTTTAAATTGATAATTGCGTAAATTCTAGATTTAGTGAGAAAAACTACTAATTAAGCATCAGTTTTGTTGGTTGTTCACATTGCTATTCAACTATCAATTACCGTTTAAAAATTCACATTATCACATAGATCTAGAATAAAAATCAGGTGAAATAGAAGGTCCTTTTTCATCAGCTATTATTCACAGTTTCCATCACACTTTTGTTTTTTCTCTTAGCAAATATCTACGGGACAGGTCTTTTTTTTTGCTGATATTCCAACAATTACGTCACAAACGAAAAATAAAATTAACAAAAATAACCCTTCCATGAGTAACTCAAGTAGATCTAGAATCTAGATCTAATTGTGAAAAAATATTTTATTAATAAGATTATGAGGCATGCATTAAGTGTCAGACCAATCAGTATCTGATGGATTTGAACCCACACCTTCTGGAATGACAGCCTCTCCCTAATGACCACTCAACCACACACCTTCATGCCTAGTTGGGTATTTTAAACATTAAATCTATAAAAAACGGTCACGACTGTGAATAGCCTCAATACGGCTATTCACAGTCGACTGTGAATAGACACTTCGTAAAGAAATATATTAATACGAAGTGATGGTAAAACCTTAGTTTAGCGTCGGTTATTATTCCGGAATCGTATAGCAGTAAAAAACAGTAAAACAATGCCAAAGTCTGTCACACACTTCCGGAATTCACCGGAAGTACTGTAAACCATACTTTATTTGGCGTCATCTTTTATTTTTATACAGAATGTTTAAAATTTGGATAGATTTATTTTTGTAATCATTTTTACATTTTGTAATCATTTTTACTATTTTCGTAATCTAGATTTTTTTACTTGGCCTAGCAGCTAGATATCTAGCTAGATCTAGATCTAATTAATTAATGGTCGCAAATCCGCTGCAAGCAAAAAACATTAATTTTTACATTTGACTTCATTATTTATATTTATATATGTGTTTTTTTATTTTTAGATCTACTAATTTAAATCTACTATTATATTTATTCTTGTTTCCTTTTGTCGATTAAACTTAAAAAATTAAAACATTAATTTACTACAATCGACTTTCAATTTATTTATATTTCAATGGTCAAATAAACCATGTTTTACCGTAACTCTAGTTACCGAAACTCAACAAACATTACCCGATAATTTCCTACGCTAAACTAAGGTTTTACCGAAGTGACTACGCGTCTCGCAAAGCGTGGCCCCTAAAGAATATTCTACGCTTCTCACAGGTTTGATTTACCATCTTATAATTGAAAATGCTTACTTTTAACTTTTCCATCACATCCGCTGTGGTTGAGTCAACAGTGTGCCAGCTGTAGTCTGAAATTCATAGACCCAGAGTTCAGAGTTCGAACCCGGGGTTAGCTCGGCCGATTCTAGATTTTTTTTTTTACATTTTTTTTAATATTGAAAATATGACGCAGGCCTAAAACATACGTCATAGACGTTCACACAAGATCGTCTGTCTTCACTTCTCTCTTCCTCCCACCCCCTCCCCACTCAAGCAAATTGAATTTTTTTTTTAAGTTCACGTAGGATAAATAATATAGACTTAGATCTACTATCACGCATGCTAGATACTATCTAGTAGATAGCTAGGCCTAAAGGTTAAAGGACAGTTTGATTTAGCTAGGTTGCTGCTAGATCTTGGACTATCATCTGACCCATCTGACCTCACAAACTTTCCTTGACAATACGCTGTACTGTTTTTTTTTACAAGTACTAGACTCTTAGGTGTTGAAATAATATAGAGATCTAAATACACTTAAACTCGATCTAGATCTATGTCAACATTAAATTGTTACCACGAAAAAAATATCGGGCAGTCCTGATATCTGTTTTTTTTTTAGATCGCCTGCCACCTAGGGTAAAGATTAAGCGTAACGTGGAGCGAACTGCGCAAAGGCGGCCTTACGCGTAACGCGGAGCAAACCGCGCAAATGCGGCCATATTAATAAGCCTAATGTTTTTCCTAACGTTTTGGTTGTGTATATAATAAAATACGCTCAACTGGAGGTGAACGTGACGCGGGGAATAAAATACGCTAAAATGGAGTTTTACCCTAGATCTATATTTTATTATTGTTTTAATAATTATTTAGGCTAGACCCAATTTAATTTTATTAGGGCAGGTTAAACCCCCAAATTGAAATTTAGGTGTTAGGACTTTTTTGAGTGATAAGGAAGGTGTAACTAACATAGTATATGAAAAAAATGCAAACAAATCATTAAAAAATTATGGTTTTGTGATAATATTTTCTAAAAAGTGTCATTTTTAGGGTAAAATAGCTCAAAATTAGCTCTCAATTGTCAGAATAACAAATCTTTAACAGTGTAATAGACGCAATTACAAAAAAGATGAACTAAAACAATTAGGCCTAGAAAATAATAAAAATGGATTTTAGTCAATTTTTTTTTAAATGTGAGACCTAGAAAATTTCCAGAAAGTAAGGAGTAGACATAGCTTTTTATTTTATAAAATGAGAAGTTTCAAAGATATAGAAATTCTTTTAGTTCAACTTTACAAACAGTGTTTAGTAAACATGTGTGCAAAATTTCAGCTAAATATCTCAAGTAGTTTTTGAGTTATAGTGATTTAACTGGTACGATTTTGTTGAAAACTAACATTTTGAGAAAAACGCTAAATAGTGAAAAATATACTAAATTTAGAAAAAACGAGAAAAAGCGAAAACTATACCAAATAAGTCATTTTTAAAACCTCACAGTTACATAAATTGCATCTGGAGCCTCTTACTCAGCAATAAGAATATCTATTTTAGTTGGTTTTCAATTTTTATGTTGCTAAATGTTGCTTAATATAGGTGAATTACGTCATTACTCTCATTAATTAAAAAATTGTAAAAAATACTAGCAATACGAAATTTGGCAAAATGATTATACAAAAATGTTCAGAATTGAATGTAGTTTCAGAAACAATAGATTTTCAAAAATCAACATTTCTGACTTAAATATGTATTTTGGGGGGGGTTTAACCTGCCCTTAAAAAACATTAAAATTAAAAGGCCTAACTTAGGCCTACTAGATCTAGAATCTAGATCTAGATTTAAATCAATCCTGTCCCTAACCCCAACCCTAGTCCTACCATACGTCGGGTTTGTTACATTGAGTTAAATATAAGGATGCATCTATTCGGATCCGGGTCCGAATAGCCACTTCCTAAATATAACTTATATAAACTCAAAGAAACTAATAAACAAAATAAATAAACTATCTCCCTTTATTTTCTTTAGCGATAATTAAATTAACTAAATAATTAAGTAATGAGATTAGGTACATATTTATTTCCTATATAATTTGTTTTTGCTATTACTGAAACAGCTGTGTTGTTTCAATACCACCTGCTCTCTTTCTTGAATCAAACGTTACACTTTTGACCCCCAACATGTTACTGTTTTTTTTTAAATGCGGTGGAGAAGAGGGAGGGCTATATACTCGTTGAAACCAAGCAAAAAATAACTCACCGAGTTATTGACCATGAATGACGTTGTGGCATGCGGGTATACTTCTTCTCCTCAAAAAAACAAGGCAGTATGATATTAAGGTCGCGCTTATTAAGTGGGGCGGTTTGAAATGTTTACCAACCCATCCAACGGCGTGTTTTTTCCTCGCGCAGGTTAGAAAACGACAGAATGTTTAGAATTTTTAATATTAGTAGACCTATATAGATTTTAAAAATATAGTGTAAAATAATATTCTGTTTATGGACTCGCACTGACCGTCTATCAAGACGGGATTTTCTCCCACTGACAAGAAAACTAAAGCAGCAGTCAGAGGATGTTAAGATTGTTTAATATAAAATCAAATTAGATGAAAAAAAAAAGAACACACAACATTCGTGATATATCATCTTCTTTAGTTTATAAATATAAAAAAAAACTAAACAAAATTTGTTTTCGCAAATTGTGTCTCGCTATTTATCAGTGATTCCGCAGGTATGTCTCACATTTTCTTCTCGCAGTTTACCGCCTCGCGATTTTGCTTTTCGCGTCTCACAATTTCCCAACACCCCCTATGTTATGGAAGAGTCTATATCGAACATCGGTATTTAAAATCATCCAAAAGTTGCCTCATTGTTAAGGAATTAATAGAAATATAGGCATATTGTGATATATTTGTGTCAAATCTATTTTATTATATAGGCCTAATAGATAACTGAATAATAAACCAAAAGCAATGGCTAGGCTGTTAGATTCACAGCTTCCGGGTTGGTTGTTTTTGTGGCCATCTCACGGCTCATGTGCTTACTAAAATAGCGACCAGTTTCACTTTCACTACATGGTAGACTGATAAAACAAATGATTACGAAGCCATCGTCAATTTTAGGAATCGAAACTAGGGCGATCTGTTTCTATTTAAGTCTGTTATTTAAGAATTGTCAGATGTACTTCTGACCTAATTTCTTTGTTTATCTCGCAAGCTGCGTCTTAGTGAAAGTAGCTCTATGTTGTTCATATCTTTTAAATCAAATAACTCTTAAATACCGCTTCGATATCAAACCAGAATATTAAACTAGAAAGCATCAATTTTACACACATTACAATTAACTGGTAATAATTTATGGTGTTTATGAGATGCGTTCGGTGAAAATGATCACCCCTCAATAATGCCTTCACTACAAATAGCCTTCAAAGGGCTATTTGTAGTGAAGTACAAATAGCTACGGAGGTTATTTGTACACTGACCAATCAGATTGGCGGATGGTATCTGTACACTGACCAATCAAAGTAGTGTAAAATCCCGCCCAGTTTAAGACTTTCTACTCTGGATACTAGTCTAGAGCCGAACACTGGACAAGAAAGTTTGCTACACGATGGATGTCTTGATTTTGAATAGTTTTGCCTTAAACAGCTGTTTTGACCGCTACAAAGAGTTGGAGGCTGCTATCAAAGCTTTAGATAGTAGCAAACAAATCAAACACTTATTCAAATTTAACATAACAAAAAACAGTTTAAGAATTTAACAGTAAACAGAACAAATGAAATGGTACCATATCCATCAGATATAAGGGACAAATAACTTATCACATGGCTGCCGTGTACGTGTAGTAAACAAATAGCTGCTTGATATAAAAATGCCTTCGAGAATCAACTGATCTGGGTCAACATCTGTTGTATTGTATTGATACATGCTTTTATTACAAGCATTAAAAACACTTGTTATGGGTCTAGATTTTAAGGCGATTTCTTTTATCTCCCTATTATCACAAATACCAGATCCCCATTCTTACAGATAGTTATAGTAATCCTGAATTATCTTTAGATGTTATATCTCTCTATGTAATATAGATCTAAGTAATTTATTTGAATATAATTATTAACAAATTCCATGCAAATACACATTTGTGACTTTTTTACTACATCGGCTTACTTGGGGTCACAGAGAAAGCCACTTTTTCTCCAGCTGTTACAATCTTTATCTCCCCTCCCCAATGAAATAATTGTCATTGACCCATACGTATTTTGAGATAGTTGTTGATGTCAGTAGCCTTTAAATTTTTTCAAAAAGACAAAAAAGCTGGCTTTCGCAAAAAAAATGTTTTAATTAAATGTGTTTCTCTGGCTAACAGTGAAAAAAACTGCTAAAACGGTTATCTTTAAAATTAAACAAGACTGTACGTGCGCGCTATCCTCCTAGTCCTTTAATAACATTTATTTAGGTCCACCTCTAAACTTCACAGCAAGCTCACAGCAAAACTTTAAACCAATCCTGAAAAAAAGAGCCAATGAAAGAAATGTTGAGTAGCCCTAAGTTAGCATAGCAGTAGATGTACCATGTACGCTTGCGCGATTGGCCGGAAAACACATCGACTGTAAAAAGGCTCCTTAGTCTTAATAATAAAAATGATTTCGAGAAACATGTCTTGTTTTGTTTGGAATAGTGGCACCCCTGAAAAAACCCACCGAAAACTAGCATGTCTGCAAATAGTGGGTGATTATAGCTTGCTCCAATACCATGAGACTAGTTTTGTGCGCCTTTACTCTAAACCATGAGAACTGGTGAGACTACATTAGGCAGCTCATGCCTAGTCCAGATCTCATGATATTTGGGGGACGTAAATTTTATCTTAAAATTCCCGGTTTTTTTCCTGGTTTCCCAGCTCTCTGGGAACCCTGTGTTACCCACTTAGGTTATATTGATTTATTCAGAGGTTGTTGACATTTAGATTACTGTGCTCATGCAAGATGGAATCAATTCTGCAGATTGTAAATATATGTTACGAGCCGGTCAGCGGCATAACATACGCCGCTATTTAGTTGTTGTTTTTTTCTACTTTTCAGTAATTCATAATTTGTGAATTCGACAGTACCAACGCTGCCACTAAAAATATTTCTTTAAAACACTTTAAGTAGCTCGTTAAGGACCATAACCCCCCCCCCCCCCCCTTCCTTCCTTCCCCCCCCCTACGTTTAAAATCGTTTCAAACTAAATTATCTGCCCCTAATAGTCGTCACATAACCCGGCTCTGCTTGTAAACATTTAGAGTGAACACAGCTCACTAAGACCATGTAGGGGTTGGGAGGTAGGGAGCGCGTTTACAGCTTGTTTTCTAGCGTCTCCCAGAAGAGAATTATATATATAGATTAAATGCAAATTTTCCATGTCAGGCAACACTTGATTATGATACAGATAAAGAGGTGTTATTAATTCAAAAGAATAATTTAAGTTAATGAAATTTAATGTGTTGGTTATTCTATTGTGTGATTAATGACTCTTCCTCTCTTGAATACGTCGATTACTGGCTCAACCTGGCAGACTGGCTCTAACATTTCTCTCGTCCATGTTACTAATACCAGCCGCTAGACAAAAGCATTACACCACCTGGTTTGGACATGAGAGAAACACATCCTTTTCTAGGCGAACACTTAAAAGAAATTCAATTTGTAAAAGCTAACCTTTACTTTCATCAGACAATATAGACATTCATAAATATGCCAACTTGTATTAATATATTTTTGGAAAATAATATACTGCCTTCCCCCTTAAGTTTTCTATAATGTGTAGTAGTGTAGTTGTTATAAAATGAAAACATTCTTAATAACAAAAATGAATATCTTAATTAAAAGCCTTCACACCTGGAACAAACTATTAGCATTATAAATTCTGCTTGGTTATCGAATGTGTTGTTTATTTGTTTCAGATTTGTTGAAATAAGATTTCTTAGTCATTGTTTTCTGATGGTGTTTGGATTTGATGTAAAACATAATGATTGGCCCATCAGAAATAGTTCCATCACCTTACTACTAGCTGGTTAAAAATCAAACTTGAAGTTTCTCAACACTAGAAATACACATGTGATTGTTGACTTAAACCCACCATGATGAATGATTTTAACGAAAAAGGACTCTACCAGCTATATACAACTACAACAGGTAACCCGTTTTGATTGGTGTACCTTCTTATTTAATTTTTCTTTAATATGGCAGAAAAAAGATGAGGCTGCCAGCATTCTACTTTAAATTTTCTATATTAAAATAGTTTCATATTAGAGTAAAAATAAATTACTACTGAAAGTGCGTAGAAACTTTCAGTGAAAATTTTTTTTAACTTAAATACAAATTATTAAACAGATGACTCAAACTAAAACTTATAAACTTTGTAAGTCATGACAAAATGTAATGGCAATGTCAGTGATGACATACACGTTTTTTAGACATTTTACTTTACTCTTTACAATAATATCAGAGACTTTGCACACCACCTAATTGTTAGCTTTTGCATTGACACTTGAAATTGGAAGAAACCAATTTAGAAAAACTTACTGCTAATGTAGATTCTTAAAACATAGAGTTGTGAAGGTTAGAAATGTTTTTTCTAAAATGGGAAACGTCCAATTGATTTAATTTTGTTGTGTATCCTATGACAGGTCACTACTATCGTGATAAGGATAGAGATAGCAGTCACATTGAATTGGATGACACTGCACCCCTTCCACTTCTTATTGGCATTGGACTAGCTTTGTTTCTAGGTATGGCTTTAATTATTATGACACATCAGTTGATTATATTTAAAGGCTGCTGGTTTAGTAGTCTTCTTCTGACTATGAGAAACATTTGTAAGACATCTTTTCGCTGTTGTTGGCATCAATCATCAATAGTTGGGCAAACTCATTTTGGTCAAGAAAAATTATTCTAGCCTCTTTAACAGACTGCAATGTATTAGTAGTACAACAAAAAATAAATTACTCCACTTAAATTTAAACCAAATACAAATACAGAGTAGTTTATGATTTTATTACCATGCAAGAAACATGGCAATCAAAGAAAATCTTCTCCAAGACCAAATGTAGACTTTTCTAAAGTAGTGTTTTTTAGTTCTACTGTATGGTAGTGAATGCTGGAAAGTAACAACCACCACTAAAACATCATTGGATACTTTCCTATGTCCTTGCGAAGAATAAAAGGCATGTACTGGCCCAACACCATGTCCAATGACTGATTACTAGGAGAAATGGAAATTGAAGCCGTTTCTGAAATAATCAGAAAAAGAAGATGGCGCTGGATGGGGCACGTTTTAAGAATGAATCCAGGTGATATCACAGGAATGGATCTTAACTGGATGCCTCAGGGAAATAGAAAACAAGGAAGGCCAAGGGAGATTTGTAGGCGCACTGCAGAAAAGCAACTGACAAATGCAAGACTATCTTGGGGGACTGCATAGAACATTGCCAGCGCCAACTAAAGTGTGAAGATCTTTCTGTGGCTGCCCCATGTGTCTTGGGCATAAAAGGGAAAAGATGAGTTAGGCCTATCAAATTATTGTTTTTGATTGTTTTAATTTTATATTTTGTCACTTACAGGTAAAATAATTGTACACACTTTCTCCATTTTTTAGGCTTCGTGGTCCTTGTACTTATTTGCTGCCTGTGTCGCAGACGAAGACCAGCTAGTTCAAGTGAGCACCAGCACCCTAACATGGCCAATTACCAGCGGGCTCCTGTAACTGATGGAATGGTGGGCGGGGGAGGTGGCATGGCCTATCCAATGACTGCTGTACCACCTTCAGCTTTTCATAATTCTATTCCTTACAACCCACATATGGGCCATACCGTCCACAACTATGGGGTCATTGGATCAGGTTAGTCTTTGCTTAAAATATATTTCTTTGTCATTGTAAGCTCTTTTATATTAGGTACAAGGTTTAATTTAATTTCAGTTTGCTTTAGGTTTGTTTATACTTACTTTTTAAAACTACCATAGTACATGTTTTAGACCATTACTTTGTTAGAATCACTACTCTGACCCTATCTTTAATTCTATCCATTCACTGATTGTGAATATAATAATAAGCTTTAATTATTTTATGCTGTGTTGTTCTGCCAGTTTTTAAAAGAACCCGTTTTTTTTTTCATTCATATTTTAATGTTTATTTTATGTTTATTGCTCATAAAGTGTAAAAAAAAACCTATTTTTTTCAATACAGGAATGAAATTCAACCACCCACCTCAGGGTCAATATCCTCAGCAGCCCCCTCACTTTGGTGGCGTCCCCACCTTCCCACCCAACCAATACATCCCATCCCTACCCCTCCCGCCAATGTCCACACCCCACCAGTCACACTCCCTGTCACACTCCAGCCAGGCCTCGTCCTCTGTGTCGGGGGCCACAGCCGACCCCTTGGTCCCCATGTCCACGTCACCAAACATGCACGCTCAGCAGCCCCAACAGCAGCAGTACCACCCTCACCAGTACCAGCAGATGCCGTCTGTACTCCAGCACCACCAACACCTCCAGCAGATGGCAGGGCGAGAATCCCCCTCATTCCAGTACCCCCCCATGTCATACTCAACCATGATGTCAAACGAGATGGCGGCTAACCCAGCGACACTACCCACGTCAAATACCCTAGCAACGACAGTTATGACTTCCTCTGTAACATCGCCACCTTTGAATCGACCCACACCAAACCACCAGCCATACTCCTCGACTCCTCATTCATCTAGTTGTACAGATGAAGAGTAACTCTGGATATAAAGATCACTAATCGGCCATTGATGACAAACTGATTTGCTAGTCTGCATCTTTTTTATACAACTATTTATTGGTAAAACATAACTTAAAAAGTCATCTGTTACAGGTATATTGTTTTATGGTGCTGTTGCCATTACAAATGTCTAATTTTTTTTTAAAAAGACAATAACCATGATTTACTTTCAACATTTTTATTTTGTGTATAATTAATTATTCATTATTTGATGTAGTATTTTTATAACCTTAAAATGTTAACCTTAGTAAAATTAGTTTTAGTTAAATTTGCTGATAAAATTGAGTGCGAAGTTTCCCATGTAATTTTACCCTTTGTAAATAGTACCAGAAGTGAATTTATACTGTATTGTGAGACATGTATTTCAAATCTTGTGAAAACCTTTAGCAATGTTGGACATTAAAATATTTATTTTTGGCAGAATCTATAACAAATAAGCTCATGGAATAAAAGTTAAGTAAAATAAGTTTTTTTAGACACAAAAAGTTAATGTTAATTAGGATTTCACCTCAGGTCCTTGACTGAGTATATACATTTTAACACTTTGCATGGCGGATTCACTTCAGTTTTGTTAAATCACTTTATTCTGATAAAGTATTATTTAGTTTTGTGGGCTATTTTTTGTTAATTTTTTTAGAATGTGCCCTAGTGTTAAGTGTATTACTTTAAAAAACAAATAAAATGGGTATAAAATATAATTGTACCAGTGATGTAACATTTCCGCTTTTTATAGGAATCCATTTTTTTTCCATTTGAGGAAATCAGTCAGCTGTAAAAAAAAATTTTTACGCCTATCAACTTAAACTAAAAGCTTATCAGATAATTAATTTTTAATGAAAATTAATTTTTTTAGTGAAATGGAAACTGCAAATTTTACTTTATACCACTTTGTGGACATTGGCTACTCCAGAATTAAAACCACTTCCAGGTGGCACTTTGATCAACACAATCCCTAGCACTTGACAGTGTGAGCTCAGGATTTTACTAATACTTATTTAAATATTTAATTTTATCTTTCATGAGGCCTACTACTTGTTAAAAAATAAAGAAAAAAAAATCGTCTTTACATGTTAAGATTTACATCTGAGAAAGGGTGTCATCAAATGAAGAAGAAATTGAAGTAGTGAGATTGACAAAATAACAAGTTTGAAGGCATACAATAAATATTTTACCCCATTTTATTAAAGCACTTTTTTTAAAACTAATGTTTCATTTATTTAAAATATCCTTGAAATATCTTTAAAACCCGCATATACCATCATGTATTAATTTACTCGGTCCACATCTTAACTTTGTAAACAAACAAATCCATGTTTTTTCTTAAGCGGGCTTTTACATCTCACTTTTACATAGCACATACATTCAGATTTTTAACCTAATACATTTTCATTTTTAGTTTATATAGTGCAGTTATATTTAGTGTGTGGTATATCTTAAAGTCATGAAACGCAGTTCTTACCTATGGTTTTAAAATGCTTTGATGACTATGATAAAACGTTTCTTTTTTTTTATAATCTTTTTTAGTAGGCCCTTAAACTTATTTTAACATTGTTCTTAAAAATTTAACTAAAAATAGTTCATCCATTAGTAAGATGTGTCCATCCTTCTTCCTTGTAAAAATTATTTATTAAATCATTTATATTTTAAAAACATTCTAAATAAGTAAATCATCACATTTTTTTTTAACCACAATCCTATTTATCCCACATCTTTTCAAATGTCTGATTACTTTCAACAAAATAAGTAACAATAGTAACATCACTGATGAATGATCCTTCAAATCATTTTTTTCTGATATTTTGCACAATACATAGCTGATATTATAGAGCAAAATGTTTTTACTATACTTTTTAAAATTACATATAGAGAATATTTCAAACTCTTTGTCCAGAAGTGCAATATTTGTGAAGTTGTTGGCTAACAACCTACTTATTGTAGATTTGTTTTTTTTAAGAACTTAACTAAGTCTAACAATGTATATTTCATATCATTTTCTAACCTTTTTTGTTTTGTCAATCTACCACAGGCAAATTATAAAATTTGCAACAATTCTGTAACAGATCACTTTCAATTGTTTTAAAATCTGACCTGTTATTCTTTGTTCTCTCTCTATGCTCCACTTATTTAAGTTTTATATCTTGTTTTTAAATTTGTGATGTTTGGATTGTCTCCTGAGGATTAGCCCATACTGTCTTAACTGAAACGCTATGTATATTTTATACTTAAATCAGTTACTGACTATTTTTCTACAATAAACAAAAGAATGTACTGAATAGAATTTAAATGTTCGTTAATTTTTAATATCAAATTAATAACAGACATGCATTTTTTTTACTTATGTGCTGTAAAAAATTAATTTGGCAGTGGAAGCTATTTAAAATTTTAGAAATTCTGTTTGGACAGTGTGGGTTCTATTGTACCCAACTCCTGACTTGGTGACAGAACATAGACTCATCCAAGCTAATTTGATCAGTTTTATCTGACTGTTATTTTCCTCAGTATTATATTTCTCATTTTATTTGACAGGTTATTTTAAACACTTGTTTTCATGTTTGCTTATGTTTATAGTCTTGCCATGCAGACAATGAATTTTTCAAAAAATATTTTAATGTACGAACAATTATTTATTTGTAATGCTTGTTAAACTTTTAGAAAAATGACGGATTATACCTTACAGTTGCAGGGTCTGTAGACAGTGAGAACTGTCCCATTGGTTACTATTTTTAAATATTTAGAATGTTTTAATATCAAAGCATTGCTTGAGATCTCATCTTTATAAAAAACCTAGTTTGGCTATTGTATTACTGAGTAGCAAAGAGTGTTTTGAGTGCTGCTAATGGTTTCAGAAATGCTGAATAAATATGTGGTATGTGAGTGCTGGTGTATGTTTACGCACAAAGATTGTTCTTTTTTGGAGAGACTCCTCATGATTGTTTTCATAAAATAATTTGGATGAAACATTGTTCTGTCTGTTGTTTAAATGGTTCTGTGTGTTTAATATGCGATGTAATTAATGAATTACAACAGATTCCATGAAGAAATATGGCAGCCTTTCTTGACATACATTCTTGTGCTGATTTGTGTTCTGACTGTTTAGGACCATTACTTCCAGACCTCTACAGTTTTTTGTTTTGTTTTAGTTGTCATGCTCATACAGTAGTATTGGAATAGAAATTGATACTTTAAAAGAACACAATGTTTATTATTTTATAATCCAGTTAGTTAGTTATGGATAAAATATTAAATTTGTTTTTATATTCTTATTATTTTTATTCCCCTGCTCAACTGTTTTACAATAGATTTAAATATTTGTAAAAAAAAAAGATAAATTTTAGTTAATGCAACCATTACGATAACTAGATAACTACGCTTGTGGCTTCATTATAAAAAACAACTTTTCTTAACAGTAATCTTTAGCTGTTAAACATTATTTTATACTTCAATACTTGGTTGATAATAGATTAAGAAAATTTTTAAAAAAAGATACATCTTTCAACCTTTAAGTAATATTTAATGCTTGTATAGTTGAAATGTTTTCCTGTAATGTGGGTAGGATTGGATGTATGTTTTGCCAGTGTTCCCCACACAAACTGTTCACCATGAGAAAACCTGCCTGTGCAATTACCTCATTGATAAGTGTTGTGATTGTTGCATCTTCTACATGTCATACTGTATAGTAGAAAAAAAACTGTTTTACTGTCATGGTTTTTTTATATAATAAACTCTGTCATGTTTTTTTTTAATTGATGAATTAATCAGTATATTAAAATATTGTTTTGTAAGAAATCCCATGTATAGCTCTAGAGTGTTTGTTGTGGAATGTTCATTAAGATGTTGAGTAATTGAGGTTGTAAGAAATCCCCATGGTTAGCTTTAGGGTGTGGGATGAGAAATCTACGTTAAAAAAAAAATTTGAGATTGTTAGAAGCTCACTGTTTAGCTTTAGGGAACTTCAAAACTGTTGTTTTTGTACCTTATTGTGTTCCGCTCTTGTAGCTTAACCTGACACTAATGCTGAATGTAAGACGTGCAGTGTAGCTGTACCAGTGATCTGTCATCTCAACTGTATGTCTGGCTCTATCAGTTCTGTCTTATTAGATTCAGTGTCAGCCTTGTGGGCTGATTAATGTTCAGATTGTGACTAAAGATTTTATATTAAAAATCTTTAGTTGATCATTAGTGTTAACAAAAGCAAGGTGCTGGCACTTTTTTTTCCTTGTAAACTAAGTGTTAATTTAATTAAGTGTAACACAGTTGCACAAAAAAAATCTTAAGATATGAAACACAGAAGTGCAATGGTCTCTCTAACATTTTGCTGTTTACTTTGTACTATACACAGTTTAGCATTTTTATTTTTGTATATACTAGAGGGACCAAATAAAATGATTGAGAATTGAGTTTGGTTTCTAATTTAGATTGATATTATTATTTATTCAACCTTTTACTGCACCAATATATTTAGTTTAGGTAAACTGAAGTACAATCAAATGGTGATTTTTACTTGTACATTTTCTGATGATCTTTTTTTGTAACTGATTCACGCCACAGATTTTTCTTTTTGTGTGCCCTGTAAATATTTTAACAACACCCTAAGTTGTTTTGTGTGCTTGTAAACATTTGTACAATTCGGATAGTGCAACATTTTAAAATATTTTATTAAAGTACATTTCTTATGGACTAAAGTTTAATGTAACTTCATATATTAATACATCAATTTTTATTTACATAAGACATAATTGAAATTGTTGACTTTAAAGATTTACAAGAAACAAGAGAAAAGTACCAAAAAAATAACATTCTTGTGAATGTTATATTACAGTTTAAATTATTATGACTAGATATAAAATGATCTTCTACTAAAGTATCACGTTGGCTGATCCCAGCTACAGCAAATATGTTACCTTGTCATATTCTGTAAAGTTTTTGTGTTATTTGATAAAAAAAAAAATTAAAATCCCATAATTTAAAACTTAGCCTTGATTATTTTAACATTTTATGATATGCCTTAATTCAGTTTTGGATATTTGACATAAACATAAGTAGTGTAGCTTACAATTTTCAACTTGTATTGTACGGTCGGTATGGATAAACTGCTTCAGATTTGTTTTTCTAGACCAGAATCAAAAATATTTTCTTTAGTAGCCCACCTTGGGCATATTTCTATCTACTGTAACTGTTTTTATTTTCAATTTGAGCTTGCTACAAGGAATCTATTACCCACTCTGAAACAATTTACTTATGCCTGCACCTGTGTCAACTTGTTGCAGTATTTCATTATTGTTTGTTTGGAGCCTCATGACACAAAAATTCATCTTTGTTTGACCCCCTTGTATATTTTAACAGTGATCCCCTTTCAACAGTGTTCATCATTTGTTGTTTTGAGTGACAATTTTTCATACACCATAACTATCATTTGTGAATTTGTAAGGACTTTTACATTGTTGTTATGTATACAATAAACCCTGAATTTTTTTTTCAATTTTCTTTTGCAATTTATTTACTAAAAAAATAAATACATTTTATTCAGCAACAGAATAATTTTACAGTAAAATGAAACAATGGGTAGAACACAGAAGCTGTACATATATATTAGGTGTCACATGTTGAAGAACCTAGGGCACAGGTGTCCCATGTGATCAATATTTGCATGTATAATAGATGTGATGACAAACATATGGGAGGCCTCACATGCTGAAAATAGACAACATACATTTCTATTTATATCATGGTTTTCACCACTATGTTATATATTATCTACAACGGTCTTTTACAAATTATTATTGGTAAATTTATACAAGTGCAAAAAATAACGACTTTTAACAATGTTACCATACCGACGGGAATCTTTTCTCACAGTAACCCTAATAGTAATAGTGTGCAGCCAGAGTATACAACACAATCAGAAGTAACATTTTCTGGTAGTTACTTCAAATTTTAAATACAATGACCTTACAAGATAAAAACTTTAAAGTACTTACTTCTACTTTTCATATCTTTCTCTAGTTCTGTTGGTGGTTTTTCCTTGGGAAAAAAAAGAGTAAGCAAGTTATCATACAAATAAAATATATGCAACATCTAAAAACTATTATACATTATGTTGCCATGTTCAATAGACTGCATGGCTACGTTGTAGGTGAAGTGACCACTCCTCCTGGACAGTGGCGCTTTTTAAAAAATAAATTTTAATGTGGGAGTGAGCTCCCCTAAACTTTCTGTCTATTCTTATATTTACAATACAGGTGGGAATGGCACTTCCACTTCCAGTGGAATCCGGCTATAGAAATGTAGGTAAGTTACGGTAGTGATAAAAATGCTAGTTTTTTCCAGAGAACTCAAAAGAGGGAAAAAAGGTTTTAGAATAAGCATTTTTACAAGAATATAATATTAAAAAATTATCGTAATTAATAGTTTTATAAAACTAATATCATATATATGAAAAAACTTTATTTTACTCTAAAATAATAATTAACTTCATGTGTAATTGTAATTTAATGTTTCCCTAATTATCAATTTTTGTATTTTAAGTTTACAATTTAACAAAAATGGAAATGAATTGATTTTTTCAATATGAAGCTAATTCAGTTGCACTCATGTTTTGACTGTAAATTCTGAATCTTCACCAGTAAAGAAAATGCACGTAATTCCATTTGCCCAACCTATAAAGTATAACTTGCCAATTAACGGATAAAAAAATAATTCAGTTGGCTTTTGCGGTTGATGAAATTTCATAATTTTTTTAATTTCGGGATTCAGGGAGTTTTTTACAATTTTTTAAATTTCCAGAAAAATCCGGAGGTTGCACAAATGGTGACACTTGTAATAAGCGGGAGAGAATGACTCAGTATAGTTAAGATCTGTGGTTGGTAGCCCATACCTAGCTGGAGTGATGTAAATAAGAGATGTACAGGTTCTTAAGTGGACTGGCAAAAAGGCACATTTTTTGTGCTTGGTGACTAAGCAAAAACAATGTACATGCTGTCATTTTAAATTGTCACAAAATTGACCAAGGAAATAATGTAATGTGTTTTCTTCTTATAAGTAACTTTATTACACTCAGAAAAAGATGCTACTATCCTGAAAAAGGTCTATAATGTAAGTTTTTTTTCACTTCAGAGAAGTAACTTTAAAAAAAAAAAAATTACACTCCGAAAAAGGTGCTATTATTCTGAAAACGGTCCTAGGGTGAGCAGATATTCCTCCTGCCTCTACCTATTAACACAAACTCACCTTGATATATCTCCATAAACCTAGCAAGAGAAGATAAGCCTCATATGGCGAAACAAAGGGAAACAATTCTGAGATATTTGAAAGTGGAGATGGTATCCATGAACCCTAAAAAAACAAAAAAAAAAACCAAATGATATTCAAATAGCCAGAAAATAGTTTACTTAAACTAAATATTAATTATCATAAATTATCATTTGAAAAGCAGAAGGTGTAGAACTTACCTGAGTTAGACAGTAGACCAACTTGATAGCTGCCTCACACTGTTTGGGACAGTTTCTCATGAATCCTTCTCTAGAAACTTCCAAGTGGTTCATCATGACTGCCATTAGTGATCTCAGCACAGGGGAGAGGTAATACAGGAATACACAGCCTGTAGGGAAATGACATGGGAGGTAATACAGGAATACAGTCTGTAGGGAAATGACATGGGAGGTAATACAGGAATACACAGCCTGTAGGGAAATGACATGGGAGGTAATACAGGAATACACAGCCTGTAGGGAAATGACATGGGAGGTAATACAGGAACACACAGCCTGTAGGGAAATGATATGGGAGGTAATACAGGAATACAGTCTGTAGGGAAATGACATGGGAGGTAATACAGGAATACAGCATGTGGGATATGACATGGGAGGTAATACAGGAACATGCAGCCTGAAGAAAAATGACATGGGAGGTAATACAGGACCACACAGCCTCTAGGGAAATGACATGGGAGGTAATACAGGAACACAGTCTAGTCTTGTTTGGTCTCGTGGCTTTTACTTCAGCCCTGTCTAGTCTTGCTTTCACAGCAGTTAGGGATCATTTGAAGGCTAGGTTGGAATACTTTAGAACATAGGCAATAGTGCAGTTGTGAGTTGAGTTTAGCCCCGTGTGTTTATGGCGAGCCAGACATTTTGCCGAAAGACACTTGCCGTTTGACAAGTGTCCGTTTGGGCAAGTGTCCATTCGGGAAATCTGCCTTTAGGAAAACGGCTTTCGGGCAAGTGTCTTTTGGGAATTTGTCGTAGACCCGTGTTTATGTATGTTTACCCCTAAGGTTGAATGTAGCTATAATAGTATAGTAGGGGAGGTTGTTGCTGGCTGTGAAGTGTGTACAGAGACATGGCAATCAAGTACTGAAAACAGTGCGCCATCTGGTGCTGGATTTATTCCTTACAGCCTTAACAACAGTACCAGATGACTTACCACAATAAGGAATGTGGTGGATGAAGCCTACCCACATATATTGTTAATGAATAAAAAACACGTGGCCACTATAATGTTAAATCAATATAAAGGTGTAATGCAGTAAGGCATTACTGCTGAACATCTGCATTAAGGTGGTATTAGAACACCACCACAAATACATCATACCAGCATGCATAGAAAATGGACTATTATTGACTTTACTTACTGGGGGGGGGGGAAGTTTCCTCCTGACAATAGTGACAATTTATATTGAGAAATGTGATAGTGAGTGGGGGGGGGGGGGGCTATATAGAAATGTTATTTGGCAGCCTTTATGTAAATCTACTTCTAAAAAAAATAAAACAAAATGTTCATTTTCATTAGAATTACATTTGATTACAAGTTAAGTTGGGAGGGGTGAAGGAGAAGACAAGAAATGGGATACTTAGAAATTGGTAATACACTCATTTAGGGATGGGATCATGCAATTTGGGGGTGGGGGTAAGTTAATGAAGAGATTAGAAATTCTACGGCCTGTATTTTGGGTCAGGTTAGGTGAATACAATATTATGGTGAAAACAATCTGACATTTTGACCAAAACAAAATTATCAAGGGAAGCAAAACAAAAACAAATTGTGTACATTTGAGCAATGGAAATAATGTGTGAAAAAACTCACTGGAACTAAACTCTTGGATGACATTCCATAGCACTGGCAGCTCCTCTAGTCGTTTCCATACAAGGGTATCCCTGTCAGATAGGATCCACATCAGTTACATAAAACATTGTTTACATACTGATTCTTTTTTAAATTTTTAAATAGCTCGACTCAGTAGCAAATGTCAGTATTATATGCATAAATGTAACTGCACCCTGAACATAAAAAACTTCAAAGATTTTTATCAGGGAAAGGGTGGGGGAGGAAGGGGGAAGGGGGCTTGCACTATCAACGCTAAAGCTTATCAAACAATTTTTACAGTACTTCAAAGTTTAAAATTAAAAATTTCACAATAAGTAAAATGTGATTTATAAAATGTGTGCCGTGACTTTTACACCAGCCTCCATTAAAATGAATCGGCTGTAGATTTTAAAACCATTTATAAAAATCTTAAATTCAAAATAACCATCTTAAAATTAGATAAATAAGCAACCAATAACTGGTAGAATTGTGACTGAACATGCCTGTGCTCATATGGTCACATCGTAAGTCTCGCCAATGTGTCTAGGCTGATTTCTATTTCATACGTAATGAAGTCCATCTAATAAATTAACATTTTCCTTTTTTTTAAAAATACAAAATTAAATAGAAAAAATAAATTGGTGGAAAAACTAACAGTACCAGATACCTTTCAGTTGTGACCCTGCGGAAGTCAGGATCCTGCCAATGGACGTCGTTATACAGGGAATCTAAAGTTAAGACGTCAACTATCACACAGCCCAGGGTACGAGCTGAGCCCTCACTTATGTTCTGTGTTATGTTCTGAACATAAGAATTAAAAAAAACTTTCAATAGCTGAAACAATAGGGTTGGACTGGTTGGTAGGGCACACAATCCTGAACCAGAAGGTACTGAGTTTTGATATTGTGCTACAATAGATAGGGAGTATCAGAGTCCATCAAGATCTGTGGGATACCTAACTCAAGTTTTATTGATGGGTTGAAATATATGGTTCTTTAGGATTTTAATAGGCCACCATGCCACCCCCACCTCAACAGTGCATTCTCTCAATAATAAAGTTTAACCCAGACCAATAATACATTGCTACAATAATAACGCTTTTTAACATAGAACCAGTTCCAGAATGATATAAAAGCTTACAGTGGGAGGCTGATTTGTTTCCATTGGCTCTTCCTTCTGCCCGTTGGTGCCATCAACAGTAGCAGCTGGAACAGCTTGAGTGAGCTCACGACAGCACAGCCAGAGGGTTTCAGTGAAGGTCAGACAATTTTTAGATACGAGGTGCTGGGAAAATACAACAATTTTTAGATACGAGGTGCTGGGAAAATACAACAATTTTTAGGTACGAGGTGCTGGGAAAATACAACAATTTTTAGGTACGAGGTGCTGGGAAAATACAACAATTTTTAGATACAAGGTGCTGGGAAAATACAACAATTTTTAGGTACGAGGTGCTGGGAAAATAATTTTTTTTACTGATGATGGAGAAATACAATTTTTTTTATAGTTGTTGGACAAATACAACAATTTTTAGATACAAACTGCGGGGAAAATACGTCAAGTTTTTTTACGAGGTGGTGGAAAAATACAACAAATATTTTATATGAGGTGGAAATTAAAATTAAATTATTCTACTGACAGGACTTAAACAAGTAGAAAACATGTGATAATTAAAACAAGTTAATTAAAAAGTCTAGTGACAATTTTAGCGCAATTTCCTTATGTTATCTAAAAATAGCTCTGTCGTAGCGTAAATCAAGAGCAGGGTTAGTAAAACCATTGGTTAGTTATTAAAACGTTTTTTATTAAATAAACCTAACTACTAACTAAACTAAGCACCTTGAAATCAAGAGCAGGGTTATTAAAACCATTGGTTAGTTGAACTTGATTATCAACATGATAATCATTAAGATGATAGATCTCTACTTCCGGCATGTATATACAACCACACCACACGCGTCATCACGTTCAATAGATGCGTCATCGCGTTCCATGGCTGCGCCATCACGTTCAGTAGGCGCGCAAGTTAATTAAAAAAGTCTAGTGACATTTATGCGCAATTTCCATATGTTATCTAAAAATAGCTCTGACGTATAATGATGGGGTGCGTTCAAGCTAGAAGAGCGATCGGTTTGTAGGTGTTTATGTAATTTTAAAATTTGTGACCGAACGAGAGGATATTTTTGAAAACTTTCTTCGGCAATATTGTTCTAAATTATGGCAGGAATCGATTGGTACATGTTTCAAGTCGCTAAGTGGTCTGGTTGCCGAGATATGGGCCAAAAACTGCATTTTTTCGAGGTTTTTTGGCTTTTACGGGAAATACATGAAAGAAACCCGGAATTTTTATGGCCTATGCTCATTCTCGTAACTTGCTTAACATAATTGCTTTTGGAACTAGTCATCGATATTGCTTCATTGAGGAGGAGATACGACTTAAAGCCCGGACACACATTCATCCATTCATTCATTCATCCATCCATCCATTCCCAGAAATGACGAGTTAATAAACGCAATTCTCCAGAATGGAAATTGCGCTAAAAAATGATAATTTAAAGATATTGCCAGTAGTACATGAATATTTGGTAAATTTGTTATTTAGAAAAAAATTACCACTGAGACAGTTTTTTTTTGGCTATTTTGGCTATTAGCAAATGTTAAACCTAATTTAATACAAAAATTAAACTAAACAAATTTTTAAAAAAAATCTAACTTTAGGCAATGGTTTATGTGGGGCCTGCGCCTTCCCAATTTGTCGTATGACACCCCCATGGTAAACGCTGGAGTGGAACCTGGGCAAGGCGATGGACAGACTCTGCTGGCGGTTCTCCTCCAGAAGGGAGACTGTGTCTGTGTTACCACTGGAGGTGCTGGAGTTGATGACGGCTGTCACAGGGCACCTCCCACCAAACAGGTAACAGTTTTCCTGATTTGAGGAAAATATCAAGTTAAAATACTGTTAGTCATGACGGCTGTCACGGCACCTCCCACCAAACAGGTGACAGTTTTCCTGATTGGAGGAAAATATCAGTTAAAATACTGTTAGTCATGACGGCTGTCACAGGGCACCTCCCACCAAACAGGTAGCAGTTTTCCTGATTTGAGGAAAATATCAGTTAAAATACTGTTATCATGACGGCTGTTAAGTGCACCTCCCACCAAACAGGTAGCAGTTTTCCTGATTTGAGGAAAATATCAGTTAAAATACTGTTATCATGACGGCTGTTAAGTGCACCTCCCACCAAACAGGTAACAGTTTTCCTGATTTGAGGAAAATATCAGTTAAAATACTGTTAGTCATGACGGCTGTCACAGGGCACCTCCCACCAAACAGGTGACAGTTTTCCTGATTGGAGGAAAATATCAGTTAAAATACTGTTAGTCATGACGGGTGTTACAGGGCACTCCCACCAAACAGGTGACAGTTTTCCTGATTGGAGGAAAATATCAGTTAAAATACTGTTAGTCATGACGGGTGTTACAGGGCACTCCCACCAAACAGGTGACAGTTTTCCTGATTGGAGGAAAATATCAGTTAAAATACTGTTAGTCATGACGGGTGTTACAGGGCACTCCCACCAAACAGGTGACAGTTTTCCTGATTGGAGGAAAATATCAGTTAAAATACTGTTATCATGACGGCTGTTAAGTGCACCTCCCACCAAACAGGTAACAGTTTTCCTGATTTGAGGAAAATATCAGTTAAAATACTGTGTGTCATGACGGCTGTTAAGTGCACCTCCCACCAAACAGGTAGCAGTTTTCCTGATTTGAGGAAAATATCAGTTAAAATACTATTAGTCATGACGGCTGCCACATCCCACCAAACAAGTGGCAGTTTTCCTGATTTGAGGAAATCAATTAAAATACAGACAGTTGCAAATAAGTAAATAAGTTTATTTTGTTGGTGTGGTTCTGATTTTAAAAAAGCAGGTACAGTAGTTACATCAAGGGTTGGGGTCAGGATAAGGGACATGGCTAGGGTAGCATTAACAGAAAAAACTTAGCCTCAAATAGGGGTTGCAAACATTTTAAGAAGTACTGTTACAGAGATGTGGTATTTATGGGAATATAAGTTTGTATATGGTAAATATAATAATATAAATATGTGTATGTCATTTATGTGTATATGTATGTATATTTAAGGGTATATGTGGATAATATAGTCAATGCATTAGTTTTTCCTCATGTGGGATAGGCAGTTTGTTTTGCTCAACTCTTTTTTTAATTTAGATACATCACAATTTAAACAATTTATCAGTACTCCTTTTTTTTAAACAACACCATTCCAATAACAAGGAAAAAATAATTATTATATTTCAATCAACATTTATTTTCTAAAATTGTTTGTTAAACTTAACTACCTTTTGAACAGCACCCTCAACAAGGTAATGAATAAATAAACTCTTGGTGAAGGGGATACAACTCAGTTGTTCAATACATGACATACAGAGTTCTGTCATCCTGTTTCGTTTTGTCAGGGAACCTGAAAAAAAGAATCCTTCATATCAAGGAAACAGCCAGTCTGTCATCTACATAGACATGTCTATGTATTCATATGTTTATCTAATGTAAGCTCTCAATTAAACATAGATCCAGTTTTGCTTCAGCATTAGCAAGAGATTTGACTAAATAAAACAAACTTAAATAATAATCATAAATTTTAACCTGAATATAAAAAGACGGCTTGGCCAGAGTGGAAAAAAAAAATTGAAAAAAAAATATGTTGAAAGAGGTATTGGTTTTAAATTGAATACTAAAATATTCGGGAAAAAATGGTTTGGAGGGGTAGATAATATGTCTGTAAACGGTTGCACAGTGTCGATGGAGCACAGTAAACTATGCAGTCAAAAAAAAAAATGGCAGCTGACATGAAGTCTCTTACATTTAGGAAAGTAAAGGTGGCTAGGCATAGTGCTATGCACACTGTCTTTATATTCTGAGGTCACAGATACAGGTGAACTCTACTTCATCTGTACCATGGACCACCAGGTTCAGAAGGTAACTTTACTAACCTGTTCTATGAAATGAATTCCAGCAGAACGTAAATTTCTTTGACCTGTATTTTCTGTGATGAGGTAAGAATTTTTTACCTGTACTTTCTATGATGAGATGAAGAGACGAGTAGAAGCAGACAGTGACCACCCCACAGAGCCTGGTCAGGAGGGAGATGCTCAGATCCTGCGGGAACCCCACCATGGTCATCAGACGCAGGGCACACAAGCTGATGTTGGGGTCAGGAGAGAGGAGGAAGTCGCACAGCACAGAGTGGCGTTGTCGCAGGCCTTCAATGATTGTGCTGCAACAATAAAACGTTTGGTTTGAGGTTAGGTTTAAGGAAATTATGCTGTAAGTGTATAAAACATAAACTTGTGTCAGTGGTCATTCTGTATCATCACATCTTTTCCTGTTCATGCCCCCAGACTCATGTTGCAGATAAAGTAGAGTTCATCTGTTTCAATTACTTTGGCATACAAGGGGATGATGTGGTCAGCACTATGCCTAGTTGCCTTTGTTTCCCAACATGAGTCAGGTACCCATCTTAGCTGGGTGGACTCAGGGACTTTATACAGATATGAGCCGGGGATCCTAAAAGCAATGAATTCTATCTCTTGAAATGAATGACATAAAAAATGTGAATATGATTTTGTGACACACAATTAGATTATATTGTGACCATTGTAATTTTTACATCTCTTCATTAAAAATTTGATATTTTTTTTTTCATTTGGGTAAGTCTAATTGACCTTTATGTTAATTTAGCTTGCCCGTCGCAATAGCCTTGGTGGAGTTCGACCATTGATTCAAGTAGTACCCCTGAATCCCTGTGCATGATGCCCAATAAGTACACTGCAGGTGCTGAGGTAGCCACAGGGAAATTGGGATGCCCATCCACACACTACAGTGTTACTTTTAAAAATATTAACACCAGAAACCATTACATGAGGGTGTTTGAATACATAGCGGACAAAGGGAAACAACTAAATATTTTTTTGCAAAATCCTTAGCTAAAAGGGCATTATTTTAAACAGTTTTATAGGAAAAACTTCTGTAGGGTACTCAACAACTTCTGAAAGTTTTTTGGAGATTGGATAAATGGTGTAGTAATTAATTAATGCATTAAAGACAAACTGGTAAACAAAATGGTGCTCTTAATTACTTGTAATTTCATGAATTTTTAAGCAACAAAACTGATATACAAAATGCCAATATTAGTTTTTTTTCAAACCTAACGAATACCTCACTAAAAGTATAATGTAGGCAGCTGGATCTGTGTTCTGACAAAAAAAAAATCTGAACATAAAATTATAATCTTCTTCTTTGTTCTTAATTTTTAGTGTTAGAAGGGATCCCCCTCCAACACAATTAAGCATACATGTATGCTGGTTATGTGCTATTGAGGCCATTCATTCCGATTTCAGCCTGCTTTACTATTTGGATTTGCTTCCATAGCCTTTGTCCAACCAAGAGCAAACTACAAGGCACCAGTTGTTTTATTTTGGAATTGCCTCTCCAAGAAGAGTGGCTGTCCCCAGCTAACTAGCCTCATCTGCCCGATGGTTCGAACTCGAGACTTTTCGGTGTAGCAACCTTGAGCTTTACCAACTCAACCACTCCGACCCCTATAAACTATAACCTAAACTCACCTGCATGAGAAAGCTTTTTTTCTGATCTTCATCTGCTCCACACACACAATCCTCTCCAGGTTCCTTGAGCTTTAACGACTTGACCACGCCGACCCCCTATAAACTATAACCAAAACTCACCTGCAGGAGAAAGCTTTTTTTCTGATCTTCATCTGCTCCACACACACAATCCTCTCCAGGTTCCTGAACGCCTGTAACACATTGATCTCTGGTGCAGCAGAGGAGTGCAGGGGTGTGCTGGGTAGAGGTAAGGATGCGGCCGTTGACTCGAGTTTATTGAAGATCTGAGCAAGAACACACTGTGTGACTGTGGGGATGCCCAATTCAATTCCTTGCTTCAGTCTGTAGAACGCTCCCAGCTAGGAAGGGAGAGAGAAAAGTTGTACAGTGATTATAAAACATAGAGAAGAAAAAAAAAGAAAAAAGATCAGGGGTTGTCTTACTTGCTGTGGAGTCTGGGAGTTGAAGACAACAGCTGCCAGGATAGAGGCTGCGCAGTTCTCTCCTGCCTGTAGGGCTGTATAGGTCAACAGTTTCAACAGCCAGGGTATTCTGAAACAGAAATAGAAATGTTGACCATTTCTGTTATGTATAGTTCAATTTCTTGTACAAAAAAAATTATTTTTTTGTATAAAAATTTCAGGAATCTAGGAATAACTGTTTGGAAATAGCAATATTTGTGTTTGGAAATAGCAATATTTGTGTTGACTTTTATTTAGTAAATCTTCATTAAATTCATTAATAATACAGCTAACTTGACCCTACAAATAGGTATAAAACTATATCAAACACCTTATGTCGATGGAGTTCTATAATGTATATGTAGTTTTAAAAGCTGGCATACCTTTAGTTGCATAAGTTAATGCACTTGTAATTCTAAAATCTAACACACCTGTAATCCCAAAATCTAGTGTACATGTAGTTCTAAACCTGTCATATCTGTATTTTCATATGTTAATGTACCTGTAATTCTAATACCTGTTGTCACAGAAGGTAATCAATTATTCTAAACGCTGACTTACCTGTTTCCACGGCTACTCAACAACAATCCAGGGAGAGCCTCCACTTGTGCAGCTAATCCTGTCAACAACGGCATGTCCCCCATTAATCCATTGCCCTTCTTGGACAATACACCACGTTGTAGTTCAAACAAAAGAATGTGCTAAAGTTTGTAAAAAAAAAATATGAATTATAAGATAGACATATATAAACATATTATTATATATTTTAAAGCACTATACACAAAGAAAAAAATAATTCTTTTGCTATATTAGTAAAAGCATTGGTCACACAAGAAATCTTAACCACACAATAAACAACCAACATTTCCAGCTTATATAAAGATTTCAATCTGATCACATGATAAGTTAAACATTTAAAGGGTTAATACATTCATCAGCTACACTTTCATACAAAATTTGAAAGGAAATCGCTTCAGTAAGAATAGGTTTACAGAGTAACAAAACTGTATCTCAAACATGCGACAAAAGTATCCTGTGTCAACGTCTGTGAAATATTGCTACATAAAACATATAGAAACTACTGGAAGCTACTAAAACAGTACCACAAACTATGAAAAGCTCTTACCATAATTTCTATGCAAGTATCTCTGACTTCTTCTAAGGGCATTTCTCCACCATTGTTATCCTCTGGGAAAGTCACAATCACAATTAATACAAATGATACTGTACCTATCTTAAAAATATTACAGGAAAACTATTGCTGGGGAAAAAAACAACATCTACCTAAATAAACATTTAGATCTATATGATCATTTTCTTTTCAATACGGATTGGAAGAGCGAAAAATTTTCTAAGTTCAATATTACCTTGTGGTATGGCTGTTTGTAGAAGGAAGTTGATCATGTCACATGACCCGACCTTACACTTGGCGATCAGGTGGACAACAAGGTTTAAAAAGCTAAGAGGAGTAGACAAAAGTAGTAGAAAATTGTAACAAATCCACTCACTTTTTATTTGAAATAAACTCATTAGGGGAACATTAGTGGGATTAGGACATTACACCCACTACCTAACCCTGGGTCATTACATCCCCCACCATGCTGAAGAACCCTGAACCTTACCCCAAATCTATAGCTAACCATAACCCCAACATGAATCCTAACCCTAGTTATCTCAAACTGGGCGGGGGGGGGGGGGGGGGGGGGGGGGGGGGGGGGTAATTACTCCAGGGGGTAATGTCTGAAGGTGATGTCCTGCTCTCAACATTAGTCACACAATTATACAAAAGTTGGCAAAATCTACCTGAAATACTAACTGTGAGTGAATGTATCACATTTTAAGAAAATCAGCCTGTGTTAACCTACCTGTTGTAATCAGATGGAGCAGCGCGCTTCCAGTGTGTAAACTGTCTGTGTAGCTTGTTGACTACAGCAGGACTCACTGAAATAAGAGAAAGGTAAGGTAGGACAAAAGTGTAAACTGTGTAGGACAAAAGTGTAAACTGTCTGTGTAGTTTGTTGACTACAGCAGGACTCACTGAAATAAGAGAAAGGCTGGGTAGGACAAAAGTGTAAACTGTCTGTGTAGCTTGTTGACTACAGCAGGACTCACTGAAATAAGAGAAAGGTAGGGTAGGACAAAAGTGTAAACTGTCTGTGTAGCTTGTTGACTACAGCAGGACTCACTGAAATAAGAGAAAGGCTGGGTAGGACAAAAGTGTAAACTGTCTGTGTAGCTTGTTGACTACAGCAGGACTCACTGAAATAAGAGAAAGGTAGGGTAGGACAAAAGTGTAAACTGTCTGTGTAGCTTGTTGACTACAGCAGGACTCACTGAAATAAGAGAAAGGCTGGGTAGGACAAAAGTGTAAACTGTCTGTGTAGCTTGTTGACTACAGCAGGACTCACTGAAATAAGAGAAAGGTAGGGTAGGACAAAAGTGTAAACTGTCTGTGTAGCTTGTTGACTACAGCAGGACTCACTGAAATAAGAGAAAGGCTGGGTAGGACAAAAGTGTAAACTGTCTGTGTAGCTTGTTGACTACAGCAGGACTCACTGAAATAAGGGAAAGGTAGGGTAGGACAAAAGTGTAAACTGTCAGGGTAGGACAAAAGTGTAAACTGTCAGGGTAGGACAAAAGTGTAAACTGTCTGTGTAGCTTATTGACTACAGCAGGACTCACTGAAATAAGAGAAAGGCTGGGTAGATCAAAATTCAATGATTTTTCAACATTATCAATTGATTTGTTTCTCTGTATTTCGAACAAGTATTATTTTTTAAGTTAAGAAAAAATTTCATATGTTGATGTTAAATAGATTCAACAAATAAAAAAGCTTTGAAAATCCAGTAACAAACTTAAAAAAGTAAGGAGTAAATACTAATGTGTCAAACACTGCCTACATGAACTGATTAAGAGCACTGATAAAAAAAATCTGGGATAACAACTGACAAGCCAAAATGTACAGACAGCAACTAAATTTGAAGTCAAGATTTTCAGAAATATGTCAGAAAAGACAGTGAAATATCTGGAGTGACATAGATACCAAGTCACAACTTACAGAATCGCCAGTCAAAGCTTACAGATACCAAGTAAAACTCTACAGATACCAAGCCAAAACTTACAGACGGCAACTAAATCCGAAGTCAATATTTGCAGTAACATGTCAGACATGGAGGCCAACTGAAGAAGGAAGGGCAGAGTCGTCATTCTGTTGCTCTGTGACTCCCCATGAAGGCTCGCCTGTTTATATAAACACATGTCATATAAAAATGTGTTAGAACATTTACACAAGGGGTATACAATATGTGCTAGTACAAACATACATGCTAAAAAAATGTGTTCTTACAAACATACATGGTAAAAAACTTTAGGCTTTTTTCTGTTTTAATTATTCCAGTTTAGGGATCACAGCAAAGTACTAACAAAAATTTGACTGTGTTGTGATTGTCCCTTTTCAGTGAGTGAATTGTTTTCAGTTATCAGTTTTTTTAAAAAGTCTAGTGTTGCCTTGCTGCCCAAGTACTTTATGTGTGAATTGTGACATGTCTTGACTGTTTCTAAGTAGTGGTTTTATATTATTATTATAGAAATGTAGTAGTTTCCTGCATGCTATTGTTCCTACAAATTGTCATACCAGTGTTTTATAGTATACTGTACATATCAATATGCGAAGACAGGGTTATCTTTAAAACAGCAAATAACATTAGTTGCATCACACAGATGATAGATGCAGACATAAAGATTACACAGATAAGTTATTTTCCCTAACTTCAAACAAGGTGTCTGATATCACTAACAGAAGACACAGATACAGATATATAGAAGACACAGATACAGACATATAGATGACACAGATAAGCTATTATCCCTAACCTCAAACAAGGTGTATCGTTTCATACACCTAAAGACAAATACAGATATATAATATAGAAGACACAGATAACTGTGTACACAAACCTCAAACAATGCCATTAGAGCTTTGCGAATGTCTTGGCTGTGTTTAGCAGCCAAATGGCCCAAGATACCAACAACGGAGGCCATTTTGGGAACTTTCATCCTATTATTGGCCATATCCTTATCCAGGCCATCAGAGCTACTGGTACAGTAATCTTTCAAGCCACAGTTGAGAACACGAGTGATGATCGTCCTCGGAAAACACGATCTGTGGATATGTTTGTGATCAGTTATATACATCTTTCATGATTTTGGTGAACAGAAAATGTGTAACAAAAAAACTGTGAAAGGGAATTTTGTGCTTTTTCAATCTAAAATTTAAGATGTTGGCAAAGAGTGACCACATGTACAATGTAACATAATAAAAAATGTTAATAAAAATTCGACATATAAAAGTGTTATACTATAATGAGCTTGTATTGGCATGTTTCTCTATTTCAGCAGCTTTCAGTTGCACAATTTTTGTAACCACAAATTTGTGTCGCAAACATATTTTAAAATGTCTTTGAGAATGTTTTCACAAGCTTAAATTAAAAATAACTATTTAAGATTCTTTTTTTAGAGATTGTTTACACAAATTGACATTAAAAATAAGTTTTGAAAACTCCATATGTTTAAAGATGTATCAAAAGAATGCCTTACCCAATGTGGGCAACAACCCAATCAAAATTTGGAGAGTAGCGAACAGATGCTTCTAGCAAAGCATCAACACACATATCTGGTGCACCACCAACCCTGAATAGATTAAATAATAATTGAACAGATCAATTATAAATTACATGAGGTACGAAAGTCAAACATTAATTTTAACTTGAACACAGTAAATAAAAATAATTATGTCGATATTGATTAAAGAATGAAAGTTGAATGAGTTTCTTCAATCCATTTATTGTGTTTATAAAAATAAGTATTATTTACCATAAAATGGTTTGTAATGGTAAATTTTAAATGGTAATAAAGAGTTAAAGTTGAAGTATCAGATCAACAACAAAGTAATTATAGTTTTATGAGATGCATATTTTGTTTCAAATTTAAATGTTCTAAGTTTAAATTCTCATCCAATTTGTTAAACTGTTTAAACAATGTGAAACAGAAGTAACATGTCAGAGAGGCATACATAGCTGCAAAGCATTCCGTTGTGATTTCTATCAGCATCTTAGCAGGTGGGCAGGCCATCCACATCTGCAGTACCTCATTCAGTGATGTGGAGTGCTGGACTCCTCGTTTGGCTGCGTACTTAGTGCTGACCATACCTAGAAGGGACAACGCCCACTGAAGAAAAACAAACACATATTTAAAGTGCATCTAATGGTAGATAGAAAATTAAACAGGAAATTAATTTTGCTGTAAAATTCCTAAGCTTATAAAAATGGATTAGGCTGGAAAGGAAAAGAATTTATTTTTTTATTGGCATTTAAATTGTTTATTAGAAAACTGGCAAGAATATAATCCCAAAGCACAAGAAACATCATTAGTTTTTGTTTTAAGTTTTTTTTTTGTTAAGTGAAACAACTTCAAACAAGTTCTGATGGGTACGTGACCACACTATCCCTTCATATGCAGAGATCACCTGAAACAGAGGAACTCTACTTCACCTGTCACATGGACCATCAAGTTGGAAAGGATACAACACATTACTTTTACACCATCCAGTACTATATTTAGTTCAATGATCATTGTGCAGAAAGACAAGGAAAGTTATGTTAAAACTGGTACATTGTTGACACTAGGTCAAACTTAAATAGTATATGTAAAAACAACAATAAGTAAACAGTTTAACTCACTGTTGATACAATGGGCGCCCATGCTTCAGCATTTGATTTTATGAAGCTTAGCAAGACTCCAGTGACATCCTGTAATGCTGTTTGCTGACTCCTCAAAATCACCTCAGGGTCTGCAAAGCGATAGAAAAATAATTTGACTCAGGTGTAAAGAGCTGTGGGGTAATGTTAGTTTCTATAGCAATAACATCGGTAAGTATTATGATGTTGTACAATCTAGATTCACATTATATAGCTATTATTTCAATAGTGAAATATTTTGGAACATTATGAAAATAGTTATTAGGTTTCAGTTACACAAACATGTAGTTTATCAAGTTATACAGATTTTCAAAAAAAATTAGATTTGTAGCTGTAAATAATAATATATATTACATTGGTAAAAAGGCATATTCCTTAGCAGTTTCTTTTATTTTTAAAAATGTGCATCAAAATGAATCAACAAGCTTTGTTGATATCAGTTAAAGTTAACATTTGTTCCAATATTATAGAATGCTACTTAGAGAAAACTGAATTAAATATCAAAATTGCTATCAATTTATTTTTTAGTAGTAAACATTTGCAGGACATATCACCAATATTTTCTTACATGGTTAAAGATTGTAAGGAGATGATTCATTTACAGAGTATCACAATTTTTATAAAAAGTCACGAATATAAAAAATCGTATGTAAAATTAAAATAGAAAACGAAAAACAAAAAACTATACCTTGTCCTCCCCATGGTCCTCGTTCTGACAAGCTTAAATTTGTGTTGATGGCATCATCAAAAGACATGGAGTAGTGCTCCAGGACAGCATGGCGAGCAACAGGAACAGTCCGCAGTAAATATAAGGCTGAATGCGAGAGAGCATCATAACTCACTGGGCCACCATTACTTGTCCCTTGGAGAAACTGATTCAGCTGTCTGCGCAAGTCCTACAAGAAAAATATAATGACATTTTTACAGAGAGTTTTTTTAAATGTATCAACCAGTATCAATATAATGTATCAATATAATACTATAGAATAGATAGATCTGTATCTGTGTACTAATATTACTAATTTTCTATTAGTAATATTATACTTTATAAGTTTATACTATAAACTTTATAGTTTATAGATCTACTCTAGTATAAAATACTATCAATATCAAAGATGTCAAAGTAATTAAAAAGAAATTTGGAAAATCATGATATAGCTTCGGTTATTATTCCGGAACTGTACAGCAGTAAAAAACAGTAAAACCATGGCGTAGTCTGTCGAGCCGTTCCGGAAACCACCAGAATTACTGTAAACCACCATTTATTTACTGCCATATTATTTTTAATATACAATGTTTAAAAATGTTTAAGGATTGATTTTAGTTGCATTTTAAATACTGTTTTGCTAATTATTTTGTATTTCTTATTATTTTAAGGGTATGTGCTAATTATTGCTGCTACTAAACATTGTTCTAGTTCTTCTTACTACTTTTAACATTAGTAAATCCAATAGCCTTATTTTACTAACAGAACTAGAGCTAGTTGTCACAAATCTTCTGCAGGTTTTTTCTGTGTTTCTTAAAAAAACATTAATAACTACACTCGACTTTATTAATAATATTTAGATTTAGGTACTAAGTATTGCTAATTTTTTGTGAAATTAAAGGTTAAATTAAGCTAAAACATTAATTTAATGCACTTGACTCTCTTTTTATTTCAACGGTCAAATAAACTATGGTTTACAGTAACGAATGTTACCAAAACTCAACAAACATTATAATTTCCAACGCTATAGGCCTACTATTATACTATCTAAACCTAAATATCGTGATTTTACCAAAAATTTGACATCTTTGATACTTTGAAACTTAGGCCTACTAACTTACTAATAACTTAGTAGGCCTAACTATTAGTAGTATTAGTACACAAATCTAGATCTATCTATTCTATATTTTAATATAGATCTAGAATCTAGATCTAATCATTCTCATGAATTCACCAGATCTCATTCATTTGTTGTCACTGCAAAGTCAAAAAGTAAAAACTAAAAAATTATTATTGCGGCAAGAGACCGCCGTGGATGCCGGATGGACAGAGCAAAAGGAATGACGATGATAAGGGGTTGCAAAGATAAGTTTCATTACATTTTGACTTTGATGTTATTATTAAGCTTTAATCTTTTATATTTAAGTTTTAAAACAGATTCATACCGACGCTGAAGATCCAGTTAAAATATCACCGCTTGCAGTCGCCATTTTGTGGCAAGCTGTCTTTTAGCAGTGGTCTCCCTTTAGTAATCATGTTATTTCCATTTAGTGAAGAGTTACTTGTTGTCATGACATAAAACAGTTGTGTTATGGCAGTCGTTCATTCACGTTAGTTTAGCCTCGACATAACTACTGCAATAGAAACATTAAATTAAAATGTAACTGTTTGTAATTATCAAAGTGGATATATTTATAATTTAAAAAAAATGTTGAAATTGTAATGTAAAGAAATGTTCTTTTTTACATATAAAAAAATTAAACTATAAGCGCAAACTAAAATTCAGCTTTTAATTTTTTTTAAATTTAAAGTTTAAACTTAAAGCTATTTGTAATAGATATATCGCTGCTATTCGTTAGGTATTAACCTAGTTGTGTAGGTATAATAGTAATCGAGTAAGATACGTAATCCATCGTATAGTGGCTATAACCTATTATGAAGCCCAAGTAATGTCATCTTCCATTTATGGATACAAGACTATACTGTAAGTTATAATTTATATATACTTCTTATGTGATTAGCATAAGACCACCCCCTCCCCAAAAGGCATTAAACAGTGGAGGTGTTAAGCGTTAAGAAACTAGATCTACGTACAGGAGTGTGACGTCACTTATGGACAATCTCTTAGTTTGATTTTAGTGATTATATCACTTATGGTACTAAAAACGCAGATGACTCGATTAAATTATATAAAATGGTATAATTTAAGTCGAAATAACCAGCTTTTTTGGTGTTTTCGTCTGATATAGTTGATACTCAATAGCAGTTAAATAAATCGTGATGCAAGGAGGAGCACACTTCCCCTTTAGCTATGATGTAAGATTTTAACACTTAACAAGTAACCTGACAACGTTTTGTGTCTATTTATTTGTAGAAAAGTGCTTGTTTTGTTCACGACTTATTTATCAACAATGGGGCTAAATACTACCAAACTATCATTTTAAAATGAATGCATTTAAATGTGTTACATGGTCCATCATTGAATATAAAGACCATACGTATTTAAATGACAGAGGGCATAAACACTTGCACAACGCAGTAGCGTAGCGAGGGGGGGGGGGGACATATGTCCCCCGGCGCCGACCTTAGGGGGCGCCAAAATGGGTTGGAAAAATAAATTGAAAGGTCGAGAGGGGTGGAAATCGAAAGTTTGAGGGGGGGGGGGGTGCCTCTGGCACAACGTCAGCAAAAACCTAACAGGTATCACTTATACCCTAACGGAATAACTACATTTATTTTAGTCGTTTTAGGTAGATAACACACTTTTCAATACTATAGCTTTAAGTTTTAGTTTCTCCTGTGTAAGTAAAGTTGTACTACACACCGCCAAGGGACACAATAAACGAGTGTGAGTCTCGAGAATAGGTGCCCGCTAGCCAGTTAACGTTGTTTTTACATTGATTAGTAGGCCTACCACTCTCTTATAAATTTAAAAAAAATTATTTTGAATAATTTGCTATTTTTTAGCCTACTCCTACCTACCCCCCCCCCCCCTCTTACCCTTTTCACAGAAAACTTGAATTCCAAATGTTGCCTTGAATATAGGCCTAGTGATTTATTTTGATTTGTAAAGACAATTTTCTTCCCTGTAAACACTACGTAATAATTTTTTTAGCTTTGGCATGTAACGCCCGCATTTCTTTTTAGGCGTACCGCCGGGTGCACCCTCCCTATAGCTGGGACAGACCAAATCCCCCCCCCCCCCCCCACTCTCTCTCTCTGACAAAATAGAAAATACATTACAATTTAAACCAATAAAATGTATTTTAATCATTATCCACCCACCCCCACAAACCCGACCCGGAAGTTTAGAGTGCCCCCCCCCCCCCCCACATCGGCAATGAATTTCTCAAAGAAATCCCGTTGAACACGTTTATTTATCTAAAACACGGCCGTGAAGTTTCGTGTATTCTTTCAATTCTTATCTATTGAATCTAGGTCTAGACAGCCAGTGTGTTGACGGGGCTTCACTGGTATTATAAACAGATTTATATTGTCATTAAAACAACAACACCACTCCTATTTTGGTATAATAAAAACTTATTCCTGTTTATTGTGTGTCCTCCCCTTCGGCCGCAGTTTTATTGGGCGTGTATGCCTCATTTTATGTAAGCCGGCTTTTTAATGTAAGTTGGAATGCGTAGTCTATATAATGTAGTTCAAGAATCTATATTCTATATATATTTTTTTTTAATTCTGATGAAAGTTCTTACTAAAAATCTGGACAGGACGTATACAGTGCCGAGTCTAGATAGCTTAGGTTGATCAAACAGTTAAAATCATCATCTTTCCCCGCCGATGAGACAGGCGAGTAGACTTTCATCATTTTCAATGGTCTTGGTATATATGGCAAAGTGCTGTTAGCACTAGGCTCAGCCGTCTTTGTTTCCATAACGTGAGTCAGGTACAAATCAAGGTTGCGTGGATGTTCTTTAGATTTAAGCCCGGTATCCAAAATCGAGACTTTCAGGTTAGCAGTCTCAGGGGCTACTGCCCGACCACACCCCCACAAACAGTTAAACTTACGCAACATAATAACAAATTACATAGCCCAAGACATAGTCTTGTTTTTTTTCCAAAATCGAAAACAAAATTTGTTTTACGATTCTAGCAATGCAACGCGAACAAACTTCAAATTTTAAAAAAATCTTTTTTTTTGCCTCATACATCGCCAACAAACAAACAAAAAACCCCACATCAAATGAAACGATACAATTAAAAACCTAGCTTTAAAAATTACAGCTTACAATTCAAACACGACAACATAAAACCAACCTTACCAGTTATAAACATTTCTAAAACACAGCATTATAAAAATAAACCGTAAAACTATGACAAAAATAAAATCACCGGTTGTAAAATCAATAGTGGCGCATTCAAGCGAGTGGCTGTATTATATTGCTTCAAAGAACTTTAATTATTTATTCATATGGCTTCAGTGTTAAAGCTATGCCCAATGGTTTCCTATTCACACAGAGACAAATAAATAATCCCTGCTAGCTTATTGTATCAACGCTGCTATGTTCTGAAGTAGCGCATTTTAAATTTTAATTAAGGCGTATTCAAATAATGATTTAAATAGACGCCTAGGATTTAAAAAAAAAACTCGATTTGTTAGAAATGCGGAAGATTTAACCAGTATGTATGTGTGTGTGTGTGGGGGGGGGGATGGTGGGGGGTGGTGGGGGGGGGGGGGAGATATTTGTAAAACTGTGGTCGGCGTGGTCAAGAGAAAACACGGGTTAGAGAAATGCTGTTTTTTTTTTTTAAATAAAATCTTTTGTCGCAAAAAATGTGTGTGTGTGTGGGGGGGGGGGGGGATGGTGGGGGGTGGTGGGGGGGGGGAGATACTTGTAAAACTGTGGTCGGTGTGGTCAAGAGAAAACACGGGTTAGAGAAATGCTGTTTTTTTTTAAAAATAAAATCTTTTGTCGCAAAAAATGTGTAAAATTCTTATGAGCGACTAAAGCTTTTATGAAAGAAAGTAAATTAGTTTTATTTTCTTATTTTCAGTGCATTTAAAAGCTTGTCATTATAAATGTTTTTTATATTTGTTTATTAAACATGCCCCAGTCTGCTTGGCTAAGGATCAAAAGCTTGAGTCGGTAATTACCGTTTACGAGAAGGAGGGAGAGTAGTAATGAGAACTACGCTTTTGCAAGTAGTTCTACATTTAACTCAGCCCTAATCGTAGCGTGAACCTAAACTGTAAAGTTAAGTTGAAAGGTTCGAGCAGGGTTGGTAAAACGCGGTAAAAACACAGTTGGTGTAGCTCAATGGTGCGTTAAAAGTGGGGGAGGGGTGGGGTGGGTGGGTGGTGGGGGGGGGTGCAACCCGAAACTTATTTTCTCTCAATATTGTGCGAAATATGGGACGGCTTGGCCTAGCGATAGAGAGCTGGACTCGAGTTCGAATCCGGGTTCAAGTCAATAGAACGTCCTTGAATCAATCCAACTGTGATGGGTAGCCTATCTAACTCAGGGAAAGCAAAGGCTGTTGGGCAGAGTGTTGACCACACTATCCCTTCATATGCCGAGGTTATCTGAAACAGATGAACTCTACTTCATCTGCCCCATGGCTTTTTGTGTATTGTGCATGAAAAGGAAAAGAACTAGTACACAACATCTAAATGACTGTCACTAGCATTGATGTAGGTATCTATACTGATACGATAATTCAAAATAGATCTAATTTTCAATTACTTAAACTAATTTTAATCTAAATGTTATAAATTATACATCTTCTTAATAGAATCATTAAAAACAAACTTGGTAAACTGGTCACTGTGTGAAGTGTTAGAGTTAACGCCCCCATCCTGTTACTATCAGTCTGTACAGATTATGCTTGAGCCGGTTATGCCCGTTTAAGACAGGCAGATCGGGCATCGGGCATACGTTACTGTATGTGTGTAGTCAAGCGTATCCACTAACCCAGCTCTTAACTATTAGCGTTTCAAGTACATGGGTTAGGATAAAATGCTCAAGGATGTCCATGTTACTCTAAGGTTATGGCTAGGATTACACCTCAGCTGAGGTACAATTAGGGATATTATTAGCCAGTACACAAGGGGGAGAGGGCTTTTGAAATTGCCGGGAGTAAGGGGCAGATGAGACTTTCGTGTGTAGGGAGGATACTGGATTAATTTAATATTTTCTATACGTATTATATATTTTTCTATTTCGTCAGTGAGGGGGAGGGGGAAGGGGGCCTTCACTCCCCCAATTTAGAGATGCCTAAAAACAGTGCGTACTGCTTGATTTATAAAGCCAGTACCACGTCTTTCATAACGTCTTTGCTTCTGAGAAAAACTGGGGTGGAGTAAGGGAGGGGGGATGAGGCAGTTCTCTTTACATCGACCAAAGAAATTCTTGTCTTAATCGTTATTATTTTGAAGCAAATGGTCTAATGAATTATTCCGTTGTGAAATCATGCGCTTTGTCTTACCTTGTATTGATACAGCGAGTGGGAGCAATCGTCCAATACCGTACAACATAATCATCGATAATTAGCTATCAATATGTTCTAAAAATAAATTAACATAAATTATAATCCTAGCCCCATTATAAGACCTAAACGTCTTGCGTTTTTACGACGTTTTAAAACTACAAAAATAAAACAAAGTTTTATGCCTTTAGTTAACGCAGTGGTTCTTAATCCCACTAGCTTCATACACACATTCACCGAAACCGTAAACGGAAAAATAAAATACGACTTTTTTTCAAATTTAAAACCAAAGGTTCTTCTATTCAGACCTCAAAATCCATTCTGTACACAGAAAGAACCGTGCATCAATATCAGTGTATTCACGTGACAGTCTTTGTCGCTAGTTTTATTGTTCGCACTGACGAAACCCGGTCTCAAATCTCATAAGTCGGGTATGTCTTAACCTCCATCGAACCGTTGAGACTGACTCACTTAAACGATGGGGTTTGATCGAACCCAGGTTAAAAACCACTGACTTAACGGTGTATTATCACCCCTATCTTTTATTTTATTCTCTCCTAATATCAATAGGTTCAATTCAGAGACATAAATAAACACACTACATAACATTAGTTCCCATGGAGCGTGTATTTTTTGTGTGTACAACAATCAGCATGACTACGGTAGGCGTAATGCTAAATACAATTAATTATACACGATGATCCCCGCATATCCTTCGCCAGATAAGTCTTTAAATCAATACTGCCATGGTAATTAAGAGTTTGTAATTAAAGGCATGAACTGACCAGGAATCGATTAGTTTGACTGGTGTGCGACACGCGGGGAGACGTACGCACCAGACGAAATCAAATACGCGTAATCGATCTGATTTGATTTACTGTAAAACTTATTAAATATGGTTGCCGATTTAAAAAAAATGATTTTTTTTCTGTTCACAAAAATGAATTCTATGCGTTGTGTTATTTGAAATCTACACCATGGTTAGGCGTGGTTGTGTTAGTTCTACTTTCATTCTGTTCATTATCGTGTAACCTGCCTTGTTGGCTTGAAAAGGCAGATCGTGTGCAGGCATTATCAATCGATCGATAAGAATCGCTGGTGTTTAATCAAGCGTTGACTCAGGGGCGTATACACCGGCCTCGCTGCCTGGGACTGACTGTGTTTGTGGACGTCTGGGTAACATGGCGCCGAGCGACGTTATGAACGGTAATGAAACACGCTAGGTAGTGTGTCAGTCACTCATTGACTCAGCGGTACAAGCTAGTTGTTAGCGTGGTTGGATGGTCTGTGTTTAACATGTACACAGTTTTAAGAAAAATTGTAATACATTATTTCTATAGGTTCTTCGTGTTCTTCGTAAAAATAATTCAACTCACAAGAATTTGTTCGCGATACATATACATATATATATATATATATATATATATATATATATATATATATATATATATATATATATATATATATATATATATATATATATATATATATATATATATATATATATATATATATATATATATATATATATATATATATATATATGTATGTATATAATACACACACACGTATATATATATATATATATATATATATATATATATATATATATATATATATATATATATATATATATATATATATATGAGGCACGATGCTGGTTTTGCTTCACACATATCCAAATATGCTTACATCGGAAGTATGTACCCGATCCCCCATTACGCCCCACTTAGCGACGCCGCTGTATATATCTAATCCAAATACAGGTTAGGCGTCATCCAGCTACTGGACTGTTGCACTGGTGCACTTTTATGTCAACATAACACACGCCCTAGAGACACTGGGGGCTGCTATGTGTGCCGTGTGTTTGTTAAAAGGTGGTTGGTGTTTGCTGTGGTATAGATTAATGGGATGGGATCAGGGTTAACGGATGCCTAAGGGAGTCAGGTTTAGCTGTACATATAAGATTAGGGGATTATTTATGATATAGAACAAACCTTTATAATGCGCTTTTGAATATACTGAAACAATTGCTTTCAGTTTTTTTACAGGGCTTTTTCTATCAATGTTGTTGATTTTATTTACAGATGTAAACATAATGTAAAAAAAAAATGTATCGTTACCAGCCTGATGGATCACGGGGCAGGTGAAGTAGAGTTAACCTCTTTCTGTGACCTTGGCATATAAAGGGTTAGTGTGGCCAGCACAGTGTCCAGCTGATTTTGCTCTTCCTGCCAATAGTCAGGTACCCATCAGAGCTAGGTGGACTCAGGACGCTATGCGGATTCGATAAACACGGTGTGCGAAAGACAAAGCTGTTACTAAAGTGTTAATTAGTCTATTTAGAGAAATAATCCGAATCAACATAACAATGAAAACGAAATTCAATCTACAACTTATACTTGTTTACTATACGTATTATTTAATTGAGTTGTTTACTTTTTAAATCATTGCTAGATTATTAATAAATCCTAATTTAATTTTTAAAATACACGGGCAACTATAGAAGGATTCATGTACGATAATACATGAGCAATCATACTCCAAAATCAAGTAATTTCGTTTTTTTCGATTGTTAATGTTACCTGTTATCGGTTTGCTTTTACGTAGTTGTTTCCCTTTAATATACATAGCTCTTCATGTTTCTTATATTGCATAGCATAACAATCTTATTAAATACGTTACAGATGTACAAAGAACAGATATATAGAGTTGACTACGATAAGGAAATGTAAAGACATTTAATGAAAAGTAGACTGACTGCAGTTGAACCACGTTTTACCTATGTTGATCACAGGTCCTCGGGCACTAGGATATCAGACAAGAAAGGATGGTGGAGGGTCAGTCACGCATAAAGTCTGCAACTCACTGTAATATAGGCTTTTTATGCAAGATGTCATATCATCACAGTTCTTCATCAAATTATTGTTAAAATAGTTTATGAGTTAATTTTCTATAAAAGATAAGAAGAAATAATGATATTTATTGAGACTTAAAATAAAACAAAAAATGTGCGTATAAGAGAATTTGGGTCATTCCCGAAATTTTTGCTTTCTAAAAACTGATTAAATCCAGTCGGACTTTTAACACAAAAAAATAATGATCACTGCTTAGGTTTAGCAGACTTAAGAAACTTTGAAAATTAAATAAAATCAAGAGTAGCTTTGTGATTATAGGTCCTTGTACTTTGAACTTGTGACTTCGAAATATGAACTCCTTGATACTTTGAACTATGATCTCCATGATACTCTGAACTATAATTTCCGTGATACATTAAACTATGACCTCTTTGAGCCTTTGAACTATGACCTCCGTCAAGACAGAAGGCGAGAAGAAGCTGTCCCCCTACCAGCAGGACCCCTACAAGACCAACTTCCGGCAGGATGTGATCATGAAACGGCGCGAGTTGACGCGCATTGCGCTCTTGAACAGGGAGAAAACTCAGGACAAGCGGCAACTCGGCCAGTCGAGATCCGCCACGAAAAATTTGGTTACTATAGACACGCACAAGGCGCGGAGTAATACGGATGTGGTCAGGTTGGCTCTACAGGACCTGGGTTGGAGGGAGGTCAGTAATGGTAGATGTGTGGCAACACACACATACACACGCACACACATATACACATACAAAGAAGCTAGCACATATAGGCCTACATATTGACACATATATACACACACTAACACACGCACGCATACACACTCAACCACATAAATTTATACACACATATACACTCACAATCACGCACACACATATACATATTCACTTATATACAGTCAGACACACACGCACATAAACACACTTCAAACACACACATATATACACATAAACTCTCAAACAAGCACACGCATACACATAAACAGAGTTTCTTCCAGGCATCTCTAAAAAATTTTACCACCCCCCGAACGAAATGAAATTTATATAATTTATATAGAAAATATATACTTTTAACAGTGTCCGCCCACCCGAAGAAAGTCTACCGCCCCCCCCCCCCGAAAATTTCAAGTGCCCCCCCCACCCCCCGGAGAAAAAAGTCTGGAAGAAACACTGCACATAAATATTCACAAATATACAGAAACACACACACATACACACACGCTAACAAACACACACACTTAGGCTGTATATCGTCTCACTTTACACACATTTACACACAAACACACTCACACAAAATATACACACATATACCCTCACACGCACATACATATTTACACCCACACACACACACACTCACGCCTACACACACAGTTTCGACTATTTATCTTACAATACTTATCTTAACCATTGACCATAACCTGCTACTACTAAACTTGTTTACACTTCTTCCAGTTTCCCTTTCAACGTCGTGACCGCAACTGTGACGTCACGTGGCACGCCATCTCCTTCCATGACCAAGGGGACATCTACTCCGGGCAGGTCAATAAATTCCCAGGTAAACATCCAGGTGTACCAATACACTTTGATCATTTTATTTTTGAGTAATACACACACAGAAGTTCTTCTATAACGTAGTAGAACATATACAAAAACACTACCCATGACTTACATACTTTTTTTTTGAAGTCATCGTTGAGATTATTGAATTCGGAGACTGCGTTCAAGTGCACGCTGAAAGCCAAGTAAAGATACCTTTTCAGAGCTGAGTGTCGGGTGAAATAAAGTTCATGTTTCCATAGAGCTGGTTGGACTGAGGTCTAACGTACTCGGGCCCATGATCCTAACTCGAGACATAAGTCTTTGTTGCCTTTGTAGCGTTCTGCCTAGCCTTGAGTATTACATTCGTTACATTTTTCTTAGAAGCCTTTCTCGAGATTACCGTCGTAGGAGACCTAGCATTAAGCGCAACTTGCTCACCTTAAAATCTCGAGTTCGATAACGAGATCAAAAGGGGATGGTATAAAAATATTAGTGGTTGTCATATAATTTGGTCAGTGCGGCTGTCAACACAGGCTCGGCGGGCTAACCCCAGTGGCGTAGGCAGGGGGGAGTGGTTAGGGGGTTATACCCCCCCCCCCATAGACCCCTCGGTATATATATATATATATATATATATATATATATATATATATATATATATATATATATATATATATATATATATATATATATATATATATAAGTATGAGGGGGTGCAAATCGAAAGTTTGAGAGGGTGGTGCAAATCGAAAGTTTGAGGGGGGTGTGCAAATCGAAAGTTTGAGGGGGGGTGCAAATCGAAAGTTTGAGGGTGGGGGGGGGGTGCAAATCGAAAGTTTGTCCCCGGGTAAAAATTGGACCCCCCCCCCCCCCCCTTGAGACGATCCTGGCTACGCCACTGCTAACCCCACACAAGTCCATGCAAGGATTTTGCTTGCTCATAAGTAACTTTGTTTTATCAACATATATTTCTTAAGAGGCTGGGTTTTTACCCTGTACATGAACATTGTGGGCGCGGGGGGGGGTGTATAGTATGGTTAGCATATATACCCATGCTGCCTTTACCTTCTCTATCATGAATTATGTCTCGAGACTTTTGGGTACGCAGTCGAATACTCTACCATTCGACATTGCCGTCCCTGCTACTTCCACGGTACCCACTAGTTTTTGGAGGGATTTGAAGCGATGCTGGCTAAAGAATATGTATTAAACCGGTTTTATAATGAGAAAGGGAGATGTACTCAATACTTGAGTTACTAACTCCTAATATTCAAAGCCACCACAACCATTCACTATCACCATCTACCAATATCACATTAGCTATCACCACCCACAACCACATCCACCACATCCACCACGATCCACTACCACCAGCCACTCCTACCATTCTCCCACATTCCTCGACCATCTCTTACCACCACCACCCTGTACACTACCCTCACTTGCAGGCTCCCTAGAGATCTTCCACAAAGTGAACCTCTTCCGTTGGCTCTTCCATCTACCACCACCATCTACCACCACCACCTACCACCAACATCTACCACCACCATATACCACCACTATCTGTCACCACCACCTACCACCACCATCAACCACCACCCTCAACCACCACCCTCAACCACCACCATCTACCACCACCATTTACCACCACCATACACCACCACCATCTACCACCAACATCTACCACCACCATCTACCACCACCATTTACCACCACCATACACCACCACCATCTACCACCAACATCTACCACCACCATCTACCACCACCATTTACCACCACCATACACCACCACCATCTACCACCAACATCTACCACCACCATCTACCACCACCATCTACCACCACCATCTACCACCACCATCTACCACCACCATCTACCACCACCATCTACCACCTTCTACCACCATCATCTATCACCATCTACAACCACCATCTACCACCACCATCTACCACCATCTACCACCATCATCTACCACCATCTACCACCACCATCTACCACCACCATCTACCACCACCACCTACCACCACCATCTACCACCACCACCTACCACCACCATCTACCACCACCACCTACCACCACCATCTACCACCACCACCTACCACCACCATCTACCACCACCACCTACCACCACCATCTACCACCACCACCTACCACCACCATCTACCACCACCATCTACCACAAACATCTACCACAACCATCTACCACCACCATCTACCACCATCTACCACCACCACCTACCACCACCATCTACCACCACCACCTACCACCACCATCTACCACCACCATCTACCACCACCATCTACCACCCCCATCTACCACCACCACCTACCACCACCATCTACCACCACCACCTACCACCACCATCTACCACCACCATCTACCACCACCATCTACCACCACCATCTACCACCACCATCTACCACCACCATCTACCACCACCATCTACCACCACCATCTACCACCACCATCTACCACCACCATCTACCACCACCATCTACCACCACCATCTACCACCACCATCTACCACCACCATCTACCACCACCATCTACCACCTTCTACCACCATCATCTATCACCATCTACAACCACCATCTACCACCACCATCTACCACCATCTACCACCATCATCTACCACCATCTACCACCACCACCTACCACCACCATCTACCACCACCACCTACCACCACCATCTACCACCACCACCTACCACCACCATCTACCACCACCACCTACCACCACCATCTACCACCACCACCTACCACCACCATCTACCACCCCCATCTACCACCACCACCATCTACCATCTACCACCACCATCTACCACCACCATCTACCACCACCACCTACCACCACCATCTACCACCACCATCTACCACCACCATCTACCACCACCATCTACCACCACCACCTACCACCACCACCTACCACCACCATCTACCACCACCATCTACAACCACCATCTACCACCACCATCTACCACCACCATCTACAACCACCATCTACCACCACCATCTACCACCACCACCTACCACCACCATCTACCACCACACTACCCTCACTTTCAGGCTCCCTAGAGATCTTCCACAAAGTGAACCTCTTCCGTTGGCTCTTCCATCTACCACCACCACCACCACCTACCACCAACCCCTACCACAAACCCCTACCACAAACCCCTACCACCAACCCCTACCACCACCATCTACCACCACCACCATCTACCACCACACCACCCTCACTTTCAGGCTCTCTAGAGATCTTCCACAAAGTGAACCTCTTCCGTTGGCTGGAGTTCATGAAGACTTTGTTCCCTGACGAGTACGATTTCTTCCCCCGTACATGGTTTCTGCCGCACCAGTTCAATGACTTTGTCAGCGATGTAAGTATGACTTTGTCAGTAATACAAACATGACTGTTGTGTTTGATTGCTAATGATGTTTGTATTGCTGTTGTATGACTTTATTAGCAAAAAAAAGGATGACTGTTCTATATGACTTTGTCAGTTATGGTTACTTTTGTTATGCGTTTATCAGAAGGCCTACTTCTACCATGACTTATGTCTATGGCTTTATAAGCGATGTAATTCTGACTTTAGTGTATGCCTTTGTTAGTGCTTTTACCATGACATGTTTATATTTGAATTTGCCTGTACTGTACACATGGGTCTGACTTTAACAACACTATATTGTTCATGTACGATTTGTTAAATATCATAACTGTGATTCTTTTTAAAAGATGAAAGCCTTATCTAATGTACTGTCTTAGTCACTAGTGGAATGACTTTTATTTAAGACCTAGCAAACAAATGTCACTTTTGAGTATGACTTGAAGGTCATATGTTTCTGTGACCTTGGTATATGCCCAGCCTCATTTACTTTCCTTTAAGTACCCATCAAAGCTGGGTGGACTTGTAGACATTCTACTCATAGTAAATGGATTCGAACTCGAGACATTTGGGTTAGCAGTCTTGTGCCCTACCGCTTTTGTCTATGTCTCTTCAACAATCATAACACGTCTATGTAAAATGTATCTATTTTCGAAATTTATTAAAAATAATAATTAAAAGAAAAAAAAAAATCACACCAATCACAGGTCCGCGCCATGAACGAAAAGAAGCCAAAGAACAAGCCCATGTTTATCGTCAAACCCAGCGAGGGGTCTCAGGGGGACGGCATCTACCTGCTCCGTGACCCCCAGCACTACAACCACAACAACGGCAGGTTCCATGTGGTGCAGGAGTACCTGAATAACGTCTTTCTTGTTGACAGGTGAGTAAACTCATGGTGGTGGTGCCAGATGTGTTTGGGGGGGGGGAGCTAATCACAGTTTTTGGTGTATTTATATCATGAAAAATTATATATAAACATATATATGATATTAATATACTAACAAGTAAATAAACAAACAAACAAACAAACAAATAAATAAATAAATAAATAAATAAATAAATAAAAAATGTATATATATATATATATATATTATTGTATATGTATAATTACATATAAATGCATATATATTAGTTTATGTGTATCTTATATATATATATATATAGTGATATATATATATAGTGATATATATATATATATATATATATATATATATATATATATATATATATATATATATATATATATATATATATATATATAGTGATATATATATATATATATATATATATATATATATATATATATATATATATATATATATATATATATATATATAAGATACACATAGACTAATATATACATATATATGTATACATACATATCAATGCATATATATTAGACTATGTGTATCTTATATATATATATATATATATATATATATATATATATATATATATATACATATATATATATATACGTATATATATATATATACATATATATATATATATATATATATATATATATATATATATATATATATATATATATATATATATATATAAAATGGTAATTTAACATCTAATAATAATATCAAGAAGAACTGATCACACATATATCTCAAGAGTACTCAAGACAAAATGTATGCTTACATTTATATAAACTTTCTTTCCCAGATTCAAGTTTGATCTCAGAGTGTATGTCGTGTTACGGTCTTTAGACCCACTCGAATTTCACATTTGTAATGAAGGACTGGCCAGATTTTCAACCATTCCTTACGAGCAGCCAACCAACAAAAATATGAACGAAACTTATATGCATTTGACGAATTATTCCCTGAACAAGAAAAGTTCAGAGTTTAAAATTTCAGACAAAGTAAGATCCTTTGTTGTTTACTACAATTTAATTTCTTCCAAACTTTCTTTGTTTTCAATTTTTAGTTATGGCTGTATACGTTGTTTTTTTTCATAAAACTCAAACATATTTCTGTCAGAGAAAACAAATGCTTCAGAAATAGGCTATATAAATATAAAAAAATTAGCAAAAAAAAACCTTTATAAAATATTATTTTCAATCGTCACAAATCTTCAATCGAAAGGAGTGAAAATGTTTTATCAATTCCATAAATTAAACAGCGCAAGTGATTTCTTACATTGAATTTATGTTTTATTGAATTTATTTTTATAATTTGTGTCTGTTATTTAAACTTTTACAATCAGTGGGACGAGGGAAGCTTTCTTAATTAATTAAGTTAAGTTTTATTTTCTAAACTTTTACAATTAGGATGACGAGGGCAGCAAGAGAAAAATGTCGGCTGTGTTCAAACAGATGGAGAAAATGGGTCATGACGTCACGGCCGTTTGGGAGAAAATTGAACGGCTGATCGCCAAAACGTTGATCGCTGTGAACGGGGAGCTGAAGGTGGAGTACCAGGCAGCCATCCCACCTGGGAAACCTGGACCCACCTGCTTCCAGGTAAGTCTACCTGCGTTAGTTGAACTGTTGCATTCGTTTATTCGGCGTGGCCTAGCGGTAGAGCGCTAGATTGCTAACCCGAAAGACTCGAGTTCAAATCCGGGTTTAAAGCAATAGAACGGTCCTTAATCTACCAAACTCTGATGGGTATCAAACTCACGCTAAGAAAAGTAAAGGTGGCTGGGAATAGAGCTGACCACATTATCTCTTAATATACCGAGGTCAAGAAATATATGAACTCTACTTTTTCTGCCCATCTTATTCACATCCCATCTTATTCACATCTCTACGTTAGAGGACTCTATGCACATTATAAAGATTATTCTTTCGACATAGTGGAGGGCGGGGGCACTTGAAACTTTAGTAGGGGGGGTACAAATTGTATATTTTCTAAATAAATTATGTATTCTTCTATTACGCTCGGAGGTGGGCATTGCCGAAGAAATGCCTGAAAGAAACTCTGATAGTATATAATAGAAAAACGTGATTGGCCGGTAGAGGACATACTACTAAACCTACATATATTCGAATCTCACACTCTAATAAATAGATAGTTGTATCTCGTTAAGGAAAGTGAAGGCAGATGGTTATAGAGTTAAATAAACTATCATCCATTCATATAATATACACAAGTGAAGTCTACATTGTCAGCCTAATAGACTCTCTGGTTCGAAAAAATAACTTAATGGCGTTTAATATTACTTTCGCATGAATTCCACGCCTAATATTATAATCATGTACGATTATTTAAATATTTATAGTAGAACGCCCCCTCCACAACTGGCTTTAAACTTAGCTTAAAATACCTGCGATACCATCACAGTTTAAAGTTCTAGAAAAATCAATATCCTTTGAATCAATCGAATTTAAACACACCAGAGCATCCAATTAGCGTTCTAAATTTGTTTTTATTTATCATGCTCTGCATTTTGGATTATAATGCTTTTCCAATTCTAGTATTATAGCTTTGTTCTGATTGCATCGCATTAATCCTACTTTGTTTTACTTCTTTGCCACGATATAAGAAATTGGCTTAATATTTCAGTCAATATATTTGATATTTTATCTTTTCAATACAAAGCCAAGTATCATCAATGAACCCATTTGCCATTTTATCTTTTGAATTGTATGTCATGCGCCAAATACCATTTTATTCGCCGTTGAAAAAATGTGTCTAATCCCCACCCCACAACATTTTTTTGTTTAACAGATCCTGGGCTTCGATATTCTTCTCCTTGACAACCTTGACCCCTACCTCCTAGAGGTCAACTCCAACCCCAGCCTCAGCATCACGGAGGAGCACGAGTCACCCTCGGGCAAGGTCGAGTACCGCATCTCGGCCAAGGACGAGAAAATCAAAAGGAAGCTCATCCGGGACACGTTGATCCTAATCGCCCCGAAGAACAAATACACCAGGAAAAGGTACGAGAGGTTCTCACACTGTACAGATTTGAGCTTGTGTATTAGTTTTACTACTAGATAGTTAAAGTATCAGATACACAAGATTTTAGAGGTTCAGTCCGAACTCCTTAAATAACTTAACAAGAATATCTACATACTTTGTTAGGATTTATTTTGTTCTGACTCCCCAAACCCCTACCTTCTAGACTTCCCAAGGTCGGCTGAATATATATATATATATATATATATATATATATATATATATATATATATATATATATATATATATATATATATAGGCCTATATATCTTTTAAAAAAATACAAACATATATATTTATATATAGATACACATATTATATCTATAAATTTATATATATATATATATATATATATATATATATATATATATATATATATATATATATATATATATTATATGCAGACGGCGTCGTCGTAAAGTAAGACGCAGAGATGAAGATGAGGAAGGTGAAGAAGAAAACATGGAAGTCGATGGTGAGGATGCCAAACCCAGACGGCGCCTCGATCGCCGGAAAGAGAAAGCAATATCCATACAGTATGCGGATGGTGAAGACGGCTCGGAGACAAACACGTCTATTTTTGACGACAGGAGACATAACTCTAAAAAATTTACACGAAACGAAACGTGTCGGGTGTTTATCGAAGGAGAAGGCGAGGTGGTGTTTACAGAAGAGGGTCCGTCTAATCCGAAATACTTCTCAGAACAGTCTCAAAAAGAGACGCCGCCTCAAAGTGGATCAACGAAAAATAAACGATCGAACTCTCGTGATAGGTTACCGTCCTTGTTTCCTAAAATAGAAGATCGGGAAAAGGAAGTGAATATGGATGAAGATGAAAACGAAAGTAGCCAGCAAAATGGGCGTCGGTCACCGGAAGCGAGTCTAACAGAAACCACAGACGATGAAGAGGAAGAGGCGTCGTGTCTAAAGGAGATTTTCCCGGCCGTCTACGGAGGCAGCTACAATAAGCAGAGGATTCTGGAGAAAATGGCGGACATTTTTATCAGCTGCCTGGGTGTCAAGGGTACCATGCGGTTAGGTCCAACAATGTTCAGGCTGTTTGCGAGGTAAACTTTGCTAATAATTACAGTACAGATAGTTTAGTATCCCCCTCAAGAACCGATGGTCCATAGTTTAGATGAAGTAGAGTGCTCGATTTTGTTGCATCTCAGCATATGAAGGTGTCTTGTGGTTAAAAACTAGGCAATTTATTTAATCCACTAATTTCAGATACTATAACACAGGAGCCAAACTCGAGACTTTCGGTTTAACGAGTGTGTGCACTACAACCCTACATACACAATTCCATCTGCCTTTTGTCTGTTTAATACGAAGTGAATAGACCATTATAATAATACGTTTTTAAATTAACTAAAAATACTAAAATTGTGAGATTTTGAAAAATAGAATTTCTATAATCTAAAGTTAAAATTTCTTTGGGGTCAGTATATATGTATATATATATGTATGTATATATATATATATATATATATATATATATATATATATATATATATATATATATATATATATATATATATATATATATATATAAATTAGTTAAAGTAAAAGTTAAAAGTGATTACTTTGGCAAATTATCACAATATCACCACCGATTTTTACCTAGGAAATGTCGGCTTAACCAGAAAGGCATCACAAACGCGGCTGTGGACATTTTGTACATCGACATGCAGCGGAAATGGGAGTATTTGAACCCTGACACGTCCGCTGGTGAGTTGACTCTAGACCACATTACAACAATTTCAATGTCGCTAAAGTGCCTTGTTTGTTTCCACCTAACATTGTTCTTTCCCTAACAACAGATATGCGAAATTTATTTTATATATATATATATATATATATATATATATATATATATATATATATATATATATATATATATATATATATATATATATATATATATATATATATATATATATATATATATATATATATATATATATATATATGTTGCTTCTATCTTAACCATACCCGCTTAGCTTAACTCAATTTCGCTTCTATATTTATAACCACTATTTCGTGTTATCATACCTGTTGCACACTTCAAAGGATACGCTGTTTAACGAGATAAAGTTAAATGACTTTATATATCTAGAAAAGCAAATGCGTCTAAAATTTATTGCTTAGGAGGTTAGCTAATATTTCTACGTAAACGTTTCAGTAGTTAAGATTTAAAAAAAAACATTATAAAACGAGGCTTTGGGCGTAAAAGCAGTTTGGAAAACACGGCCCGTCAAAATGGCCCTAACAAAAAGGCCCGTGACAAAACGGCCCCTAACAAAACTTCCCCGAAAAAAAATAGCCCCGTCGAATCATATAGGGTCCTGACAAATAGGTTCCCATTATTTAGGCTCCCGACAAATGGGCTCATAAAAAATAGGTTCACGACATATTAGCCTATATGTCGTGAGCCAATATGTCGTAAACCCATTTGACTGAAACCAATATATGGGGGCCATTTTGTCGGGGCTATTTTGTCTTGGTCGTTAGTAAAAATGCTAGCATGGTTATTATCCCTACGCTAACTCTATCCTTAGCCAATCCATAACCCATATTGCGCCCGTAGTCCATCATTTACCTATCAGAGGCACGGATATTAAAAAATAAAAAAAAACTTAGATTCGCAGTTTTTTAATTTTAATTTTTTTACAAGAGCCTTTGTTAAATATATACAAAATTTGAATGAATACTTCTGGAAACCATGGAAACAATCGTTTATTTCACTACACCAGGCCTGAGCTTCTACGCCTTCGTCGGAGGCTGCTGCCGCATCGCCAGGACAACCTTCAGCGGGAACTCGGAGACTGCCCAGCTGAAGAACTTCATCGCCCACTGCCAAACCTTCCTCAAGATCCCCACGGACCTGGAACTCGAGGCGGCGGCGAGGGCCAGAAACAGGTTCAACCCCAGGAGACAGAGGGAGGAGGAGGAGGCGCCCGGCTCGGGCAATGAGAACAGGGTGCAGGTCACGGATGAGTGGCCGTACCTGCTGGAAGCCAAATATCAGGATCGGACTTTCCCGAACCCACAGAAGAAATATACGAGTATTTTTAGCATGTTGCAGAGTATAAAAAAATATTAAAAAGACCTCATTGAACGATAAATAATATGACTTGATATATATATATAGTTCTTGATATTTAAAACTAAAGTCAAGATAAAAAATTCGCCTGAATATTTAAAGTCAGACGCTTATTTAGTTGAATAATATCCAACCTTAACCGCACAACTTATTGCCCTTGTAAAAAATGTTTGCAAAATATATTAAACACATGAAATCCTTTTGCAATTTCATTTCTCTCGATATAAGATATCATATTTTTCTTTCATCATTGAACATTTTACCAATTTCATTTGCAATCAAACGTTTTACAAAACGAAGAACAGACATAAAAGTGTTAAAAATAAATAATCAATTACATAAACTTTTCTGATATATATATATATATATATATATATATATATATATATATATATATATATATATACATATATATATATATATATATATATATATATATATACATATACATATACATATATATATATATATATATATATATATATATATATATATATATATATATATATATATATATATATATATATATATATATATATATAAATATATGATTAGCATGTAGTTCCAATTTTCAAAAACGTATTCCTTATGATCTCATCAATTAATCTTCTTTTCAATTTAAAAAAAATGTTTATTTGTTTTGTTAATGTCAAAAGATACACCTGTTGATTGTTATTTTATTTATAAAAAAAAATTCTAATTGCTCAACGATTGCAAGATATGTCTCTCAACTATTGCAATAAAAAAATTGTGTACACATAATTCTTCTTTATCATTCATCATCGTACATGGTGCTGAATTCGCAATAATTAATATAATTTAATTAATCTCATTACAAGTTATTGTATGTTTTTTTTTATGTTTTACGTTTGTGATTTTCTTTTACCTATGATTAATTTATTAATTTTTAACATATTTGAAAGTTTTCACTTTTTGTTTAAAAGCCAAATTTTGTTGTATATAACTTCTTTTTACGTTTATTAAACCCTTTTAAAGAAAAGTTAAATGTCGAATATTACATAAGCGACAGGGTAATTAGCCTTTGAAGTGTGCTGCTATGTTGCGTTACCTGTGATACTTATTTATTGGGATTTGGATGGAGTGTTGTGTTAATGGGTACATGTAGTGTCGTGCTGTATAACAAATATAACTTATTTGTATTTATTGGGCTGAAATCGTTGTGTACATGGGCATATGTATGTGTGGTATAATCTGTATGTTGTGATCTTCATTTATGTAGAAAATTCCTTTGCTCTGCTTCAATTTTCTTTTATATAATACAAAATTACAAACTGTTGAATTACCACTTAATAAAAAATAAAATAAAATATATTTCTAATAACTTATCCTTGTTTGAATATTAACTGTACTATGATTTATTCTCTCAGTCCTCTCTCTCTCACTCTATACCCACACCCATACCCACCCTGAGATACACGCGCACACACACACACATACACACACACACACACACACACACACACACACACACACACACACATATATATATATATATATATATATATATATATATATATATATATATATATATATATATATATATATATATATATATATATATATATATATATGTTTGATCTTCAATTAAAAAAATTAGCAATGTGAAAGTATAATAATAACTAGAGAGATCATTAAATTCTGAATTACATTTCTCGTATCTTTAAGCCCATATACGATCTATTCCATTTTAACAGTGGCTGATTAATTTTACAACAGAGTACATATATCCTACACACGCGATTTATACACACGTTTTATAAGTATAGTCTTTTAAAATTATTTTTGCTAATTATGTACGTTACCGCTATTTGATTCATAAAGCAAATGTAGCTTATCGTACTAAACGTAATCCTAATGGTATCTTTTGAGATTGACTGGAAACTCCCAATAACTATATTCTACAGGGTAAAACAAATTGTAACAATGCTTCATTTTATAAACCTATTAAAAATAAAGTTAAAATAAAATTGGATATTAATATTTGAAGTATTAATAATTGGAAAAAATTGGAAAACGAAAAGTAGGCCTACTTGAAAAAGATTAAGGATACCTTTCTTTTTATTAATCAAAGCACTAGTTTGTTTCGCTTTATTAAAACAAACTTGTATTAGCTAATTTAAAGGTCGTGGATTTCATTTACTTAAGCCCCAATTTTTATTCAAATGTTTCTGGTAAATATCTTTAATGAACGTATTCTTTTAAAGACAACATGAGATGGTTGTACTATGTTTGTTTTAATTTTCCGTGAAAAATATTTTTGGAAAACCAATAATATTAAAAGTACAACAATTATTTTTTTATGCCCACAATTATTAATCAACATACACAATTTAAAAGATGTTTAAAACACATCTCGTAAGTATTCCCTGTTTGGGGGTGGGGTGGGGGAGGAGGAGGGGTCTCACGGGGTGGCGGAATATTGGTAGGCCTACACTGATAACATTTACGCTCTAAATGGTTTTGGGGATTTGATTTAATATTCCTCAGGTCCAAAATCTTTTCCCGTTCGCACAGGTGAAGTAGAGTTCATCTATTTCAATGACATTGGCACACGAGGGATAGTTTGGTCAGCACCATGTCCAACCGTTTTGATTTACCTAACGTGAGCCAGGTACCCAATCAGAGCTGGGTCGACTCAGGGTTATCCTACAGACACAAGCTCGGGATCCGAACTCGTTTCTTTCGAGTCAAAGGTCGTGAGCATTCATTGAGTTACCCGTAAAATAGGCAAAGTAGGCCTTCTTTTTGACTAATACAATAAAAACAATGATAACATTTTATCTTACCCAGTAGGTCTGTGTTTTCTGGCCTTCGTGAGCGCATGCTACGAGTTGGCCAGACGTGAGTTCTACTCCCCCTGCAAACACACCATGCTGCAGAACTTTCTCGACTACTGCGAAGACAGCATGAAACAGGGGACACAACCCGTCAAGCCGCCCCGCCCGCGCCGAGGCAACAAGGGACATAACCCCACATCGGTGTCACTCTTCGCCCGCAATACAGTAACGTCCCTTGAAGATGAAGCCGTTCAGATGTTGACTGCGTACGCAGCTAATCGTCAGCCATCTTTTTTTGAAAATATTCTGAAGCAGCTAGAGGCCGCCGGGAAAACTCAGTCAAACTATGCAAGTAAAAAAGGCGGACATGACTTTATTTTTAACAGTTGATTTTTTTTTACAAATATTTTGTTGATTTGTGTATTTTATAAATATATGATTAATCAATAATGTTATTTTGTGTAGGCTATTTTAGAAATGATATGTTAACTTGTGTATTTTATAAATGTATTATTTATCTTAATGCTAATTTGTGTATTTTATAAATATATGATTTATCAATAACCTGTTAAAATCGCTTTTATGGTTTTAAGCGTAATATGTGTATAAATTCACAAGCAACATAGACACCACACATGAAGCGATATACAGTATTTGTTCTTGTCTGATATCCAAAAGCTTGGCCTACCGTATTTATATTACTGCAATATGTTATATATAACGGATAATGTGCACGATGCTATTGTTTGTGTTAAAATACAGAACAGAATGTGTGTGTGTGTGTGACACTGTGGAAGTGTGGGGAAGATGGGAGTTTGAGTCCCTTTGAAAATGTCTGACCAACAATTGATTAAATAACTTTAAAAAAATGAAATATGATATGCACAAAACGATAAAAATTCCAGAAAAATAAAATGATAAAAGACGGTTGCCTTAAGGTAGCTCTTCAATACTTCCAAAAAAGCGTTTTACTTTTTCAAAGTAACCGTTGTTAAAGGTTACAGACATAAATAAAACAGCAGTTATTGGCCTTGTTAAGGGTTGAAGACGTGAATATAAAAGCAGTTATTGGCCTTGTTAAGGGTTGAAGACGTGAATATAAAAGCAGTTATTGGCCTTGTTAAGGGTTGAAGACGTGAATATAACAGCAGTTATTGGCCTTGTTAAGGGTTGAAGACGTGAATATAACAGCAGTTATTGGCCTTGTTAAGGGTTGAAGACGTGAATATAAAAGCAGTTATTGGCCTTGTTAAGGGTTGAAGACGTGAATATAAAAGCAGTTATTGGCCTTGTTAAGGGTTGAAGACGTGAATATAACAGCAGTTATTGGCCTTGTTAAGGGTTGAAGACGTGAATATAAAAGCAGTTATTGGCCTTGTTAAGGGTTGAAGACGTGAATATAACAGCAGTTATTGGCCTTGTTAAGGGTTGAAGACGTGAATATAAAAGCAGTTATTGGCCTTGTTAAGGGTTGAAGACGTGAATATAACAGCAGTTATTGGCCTTGTTAAGGGTTGAAGACGTGAATATAAAAGCAGTTATTGGCCTTGTTAAGGGTTGAAGACGTGAATATAAAAGCAGTTATTGGCCTTGTTAAGGGTTGAAGACGTGAATATAACAGCAGTTATTGGCCTTGTTAAGGGTAGAAGACGTGAATATAAAAGCAGTTATTGGCCTTGTTAAGGGTTGAAGACGTGAATATAACAGCAGTTATTGGCCTTCGTAAGGGTTAAAGACGTGAATATAAAAGCAGTTATTGGCCTTGTTAAGGGTTGAAGACGTGAATATAAAAGCAGTTATTGGCCTTGTTAAGGGTTGAAGACGTGAATATAACAGCAGTTATTGGCCTTGTTAAGGGTTGAAGACGTGAATATAAAAGCAGTTATTGGCCTTGTTAAGGGTTGAAGACGTGAATATAACAGCAGTTATTGGCCTTGTTAAGGGTTGAAGACGTGAATATAACAGCAGTTATTGGCCTTGTTAAGGGTTTAAGAAGGCAATATAACAGCAGTTATTGGCCTTGTTAAGGGTTAAAGACGTGAATATAACAGCAGTTATTGGCCTTGTTAAGGGTTAAAGACATGAATATAACAGCAGTTATTGGCCTTGTTAAGGGTTGAAGACGTGAATATAAAAGCAGTTATTGGCCTTCTTAAGGGTTAAAGAAGGCAATATAACAGCAGTTATTGGAATTGTTAATATAGCAGCAGCTATACTGTCAACGATATAAAAATTTTCTAATGGATATATTCCAATAACTGCTAAAGGATATATTACAAATCAAATGACGTGCTCATAATTAACCTGCTTTAAGTGTGTTCACATTATGTTTTAAAAAAAAAATGTGTAATTATTTGTTGTGATTAAAACTAACGCTAAATTTAAATTGTTTTTAATTGTGTGTATAAATATAACGCTTAAAACAATAAACACTAACACTTTGTGCAAACAAATTGTGAGGGAAATATGATAGGTCGCTGTGTAATGCTGTCAACATCTCTTTAACAACTCCTACTTATATTTATATTCTTCTTCTTCGCCTTTTAAATCATAAGTAGCATGCGCCATTTACAATAAATGTATAGTAATATAGTAATATTCATAACACACGAAAAATTATTTAGTATGTAATATGTAGAATTTAAATCCGTTTTATTTATATTTAATTAAAATGTAATAGAATGTTCCAACCTTCGAGTTAAATAGTAACTTTACACCACACTATCATGATGTTCGGTCCTTTGCTATTTATTTCCGTTACATTCCTACTCTGTCAAGAGTTAGATGTATGGCTTTCATATTTTCTTTGCACCAGGTATTTTGGTCTCCGGTTTTTGTCTTGGTCCCCTAAGACATGTCTTGTCTTGTACTACTAGGTGTCGGTTTGCTTATCGAATGGCCTATACATCATCACCTTCTTCACCCGAATTCCATTCTTCAGTGAGAATTGTTTTCTTATTTTTCTCTACTGTATTAAACCATGTTCACAGTGCAGAAAATCAACTGTTTACTCAAATTAAATAACATTAGTTCGGTTTAAAACACATATAATAATTCAACTTTTTTAAAGTTGTAGAAATTACTTCCGATCAGTTTTGTTTACAATAACGACACAAATTAATTTGAAAATTTGATAGAAAACATTGATCAATTTAAAAAAAAATGAGCTTTATTTTATGAGACATCATTGAAAATATACAGCAATTATTTGCTCAATCTTAGCATACTAATCAAACATGCATACACATTTATAAGAACATCATATTCGGTCGCTATAAATATACCGATCGTTAATACGGGCTCATGCTTTTGTTCATAAGGCAAGCAAACTGGAACAGTATCTAGGTAAATTAAGTAGAGAAACCTCTTTAGACCGAGCGATGAATTCGCCAGATGAAGTAGAGTTCATGTTGCTTGACCTCGGCAGGTGTGGTCAGCACGTTGCCCAGCAGAGTTTACTCAGGTACTATAACAGCTGGGTGGACTCAGGGACGTTCTTTAGAATACATGGACCCGGATTCGAACTCGAGAATTTCGGGTTAGCAACCTAGCGCTCTACCTCTTAGGCCACGCCTTCCCACATCTACGCAGATTAAATCAGGGTTAGGAATCGCTCACCCATGTTTCCAGCCACTTGACGTTCACCCCCCCCTTGTGTATCTCAACCAGAGTTTCTTCCAGGCATCTTTTCTGGTGAGGGGGGATATACTTTTAACAGTATCCACCCCCCCCCCCCCCAATAAAATAAAAATAAATCTCAGGTGTCCCTCAGGAGAAAAAAGTCTGGAAGAAACACTGATCTCAACACCTAGTTTGGACAAGATGGACGTCTGGTCAGGGGTTCCACTTTCTGTTACTACTAAATGAACCAGTTCACTATCAAATCAATCAAGCAATAAATCAATTGAAGACACATTTTTTTAGCCAATCACAAACACATCTTGCAAAAAAAAAAATACCCCGCGAATCAGAAACTTAATAAGAATGAATAAAAATAAATAAATCTTAAAGCTTCTTAAATTTCCCTGTATTAAACCAGTAAATTCGCCAGATGGTAGGATATTCTTATCACAGCACTCTCCTTCACGTGAAACAACTAAAGTCGTCAAGGTTTTCCCCCCAGCAATTCCTTCAGTTCATTCCTCTGTCGACGTCCTCGCTTGATCTCCATCTGGGCTCGCTCTAGTGTCTCCTCGTACTGGTTCATTAGCGTGTACAACAGTATACTGCGACTCTCCGCTGTGGAGGTGTGCAAAAAATAGTGTGCAAGAAAAATAATGATACAGAGATGTACACAGTGGCGTTACTAGTTCGGGTGTTACCCGGTGCGGTAACTGGGGGTGTCAACCCCACCTCATGACAACAATTTTTCATTTTTAGTTTGATGTCACCCCTCTTACTTTTTTGTAATATTAACTTAATAAAATATTTTATTTTGACATAATGTTTTACAATTTTTCGCACTAAATGGTGTAACCCGGTGCGGACTGCACCCCCGCCCCTGCTTTGTGACGCCACTGGATACACACAAAAAATAAGCACATTATATAGGACACATATGTTCTACAACAGTTTGAGGATAAAAAAAGAAGTGAAAATATTACACGGATATAATGATTTGTTCAATGAGAGTTGATTGACAGAATAAATTCGACTTTTTAATCAGGAGCAGGTTCTGGACCTACATACTGTACACATTACGGCATTAAGTAGTAGTTGAAATATGTATTACGGGGAACCCCATCCCCTCTCTCATACCCTCCACACGTTAAAGTCGTCTGTTTTGTAACCTACCCGATAGCTCGTTATAAAATTTCTGCTTTTCGCTTTCAGGATTTTCGTTGAAATCACCGGCTGAAATTTTAAATAAAAATATTATTTAATGTTTTGATTATTTTTCATAGTAAGTGATAATACTCATTTTTAAATATCCTTAATTATAAGAAACACAAAAAAAATCGTTATTTTTTATATAACACATAATTTCAGTACCATAATGAAAAATATAAATATAAATAAATAAAACTCTTTCTGTTGTTATGATAAGAAATAGGCTTTTTAACAAAGCTCTCAGACATTATTTATTGACCGGATGCGGCCCGCAGTCCAACACCCAATTACAACACAGCTAGACTAGAGAATGAACGCAGACCAAACCTACCTAGACTACAGTCAACACCCCAGAAGTTGTCGGCACAACCCTTGAGGCAGTGGCCCGTCTCGGCGTGACATACAAGGCCCACACACTTAGGGGAGCACTTTTGTTTGCAGCCCAGGCCGTAGGTACCAATGCTGCAGTCTGTAGACAAGCAGGAGCAGACAATTGAAATGCATAATTATTTAAAACAACAATTAAGATGGTGGTCTATATACAGTCAAATGGTAAAAAAAAATACGATGGTACACAATATCTAAAAGAACAAGTAGTACATTACTCGTATTTGTTAACCCATTTTATTGTATTGATACTAACTGTCTGTTAAATGTATTGCTCTTCTATATGATAAACTTTATAAAAATCAATTGACTGGCGTAACATATAATTCGGTAAAAGTGAGAGGTTATTGTATTGTCGCAGTGGCGTAGCGAAGTCGGGTGTCACCCGGTGCGGCACTTAATGGTGTCACCCCCCCCCCCGAGGCGCAGCGACCCTCTCGGGGACATATTTTTGATTTGCACCTCCCCTCAAACTTTTGATTTGCACCCCCACATCAAACTTTCGATTTGCACCCCACTCCTCTCAAAGTTTTCTCTATATGTTTTGCTAAATTTTGCCTTGGTGTCACTCCCCTAAATTGTGTCACCCGGTGCGGCGGTCCGCCCCCCCCCACCCCCCATCTCCACGCCTTTGTATTGTCGTCAAAACTACACATGTAAGCTAGAAATTAATTTATCAATAGCAAAGTACCCTTTCAAAGCAGACGGTAAATTGCGAAGGTGAAGAAGAGTCCATCGGTTTCCGTCTGGCTTTTTGTGACGGAGGGGAGGGGGGGGGGAGGTAAAAATCGTCAAAAAAAGCGTGACGTCATTTATGGATGACCCCTTACTAAACCCCCTAAACTTGTAACTTTAACACCCCTGATCTCAACACAATCTCTTAACGTACACCCAAAAGAAAAATGTCTGAAAGAAACCTTGATCTATGTAAAGATAGTTAAATGATGACTAGATACCTTCTTCGCACTGGTCTCCTTGGTAACCAATGATACAGCCTCGCTTGCAGTATCCGGTAACGGAGTGGCAGAGGCCTTCAGTACACCTGGATGAGCAGGCCTGGGCACAGTTGGCACCGTATAGACCTATGACACACTCTGGAACAGAGGAAGTAGAGCTGATCAGTTTTTGTTTGCCGGTAAAAATGGTGATACTTTCTTAATAAATAATCCTTGATGAGACTTCGCAATAATAATAAATATTTTGTATAATAATTTTGTTCGTGTAATTTATAAGAATTTGATGTATTGTTCGGTTACTTATTTGATAAAAGGCCTGCTGAAATAAGGCTAAACAAAGAGACCCCGTTATGTTAAAGAAACACATCAAAACACAGCGTTTATACTTGCGACATATATACCATACACTTCTAGAAAAAGAACTCGGTCATTTTAGAACATGTATGGGGGGGGGGGGAACCTACTCACTTATTGTAAAGTAATTTTTCTAGACATGTATACTATACATGTATAGAAAAAAACTCGGTCATTTCAGAACATGTATAGGTGTGGGGGGAATCTACTCATTTATTGCGAAGTTGTTTTTGTTTTCTAGACATGTATAAAAACATGTCGTAAGTTGAACACACCTTTATGTTTGCATTACTTAGTTCGATCTCTCTTTTACTAGCTGTACAAGTTCATTGACTTTCATGAACTATGCGGGTAAACAAGTCAACCACTAGTTCAGGCTAAAGAATAGTGATTTACAGCTCCTGTAAACTACTAGTTCATGATAAGGAATAATGATTGACAGCTCCTACCCTGGTCACATACGTCGCCTTGGTAACCGGATGCGCAGCCGTACGGGCACTTGCCAGTGATGTAGTCGCACGTGGCGTTGACACAGTTCGGAGGGCACCGGATGTTACAGCCCGCCCCGTAGAAGCCGATCTTGCAACCTAGCAACGGGGTAATAAAAGACAGTCTTCAATCTTTATAAAGGATCGTATGTAAAGGACGTCACATTCGTAGATGATTAAGGAGTAGAGGGGGGGGGGCGGAAGTGGTTGTGACGATGTGTGACGAGTGGGGAAGGGGGGTAGAAAGTATGGCGACACTTTTTTTGTTTATTAAAAAGTAATGCTAGAAATTGAATTTCAGCATTTATTTCGGTTTTAAAACGACTGGTTGTGTGCATTGTTATAGAAATGTATTGGTATACTCACTGTTTCAAAGAGCTCAGTGAGTTTTCAAAGAAATTGATATTTTAAAAACCCTATTATGGTGAGGTTTGCTGTCATTTTAGGGAGGGTGTGTCTGTCCTTTTTGATGATGTTTGACAATGAAGAGTGGAAGGTAAATAACGTCAAAAAAAAAAACAACAAAACATAACGTCATTAATAGTTAACCCCTAACTAAAACTAAGAAGTTTTCTCGACTGAGTTGCACACTACTTGGTCTTTATTGATTCTTATTAACCCAAACACCAGCCTTACACACCAATATCTAGTTTTGTTAATTAAAAAAATTGGATAGGTAATTTATGATTGTCAAGGATACTAATTTTATGCCTAACCTTAGCTCCTTAGCTTTTATCAAGATGTTACCCATTACAAGACATTATAGATACACTAGTAAACCGACTTTATAGATAGAGTAATAGAAAGACTTGATAGGTACACGTGTAAACAGGGGCGGAACTACAGTGCCGCCAGACCCCGCAATGCGGGGGGGCCCACGCCATTTAGGGGCCCACGGCCGACCATAATAATTTTTTTATAGTTAAAAAAAAATTAATTTTCTTGCATTTTTGACTTGATGGTCGTTTTGTAAAAAGATTACTGTAGCTGCAGTTGGATTATCTTTATTATATAGACACCACCCCACGCTCTTGTATATTCTTTTTCCCTTTTTTTATAAACCGCTGTGAAAGCCGAGTCCTCTTTCTCCTACAATCGAACTTATCAAAGATAAGCAAACGTTCAAGCCACTTCCATGACTTATTTCCCTTTTTAAACAATCAAATAGGGGTGCTAACAAGCTCCTTTTAATAGATTTGTACTAAACAAATTAAAAAGCAATTACTTCTCTTAATTGTTATTTTTTTACTACTTACTAAAGAATGACATTGTATAAAAAGGAAAGGTATTTAAGATTAATAATATAAATACAAAAAAACATAAAAATAAACATAACACGAGACACCATTACTTATACAAAGCTTTCATGTTTTATATTCTGTTGACCGAACGAATGTTATATGTAAGAGGTCTTTTATCAGAGATAAAAGTTTAATTTTAAAACAGAGTAACGCACTTACATACATGACGAAATGTTGTAATTTGTATTAATTAAAAACCCGAACAGGCCAGTAATGAGTATCCTATGTACATATTTAGTGTTTGTATATATATATATATATATATATATATATATATATATATATATATATATATATATATATATATATATATATGTATATATATATATATATATATATATATATATATATATATATATATATAATATATATATATATATATATATATATGGGGGGGGGCCTAAAAAATGTTTTTGCGGGGTGGCCCTTTTTTTTCTAGTTCCGCCACTGCGTGTAAAAAGACTTTATTGATAGACTAGTAAAAGATATTTATAGATAGAGTAGTAAAAAGACTTTATATATTATACACTAGTACAAAAGCTTTATAGATAGAGTAGTAAAAAGTCATTATATAAACACAAGTAAAATGACTTTATCGATAGAGTAGTAAAAAGACATAAATACACTAGTAGAAAGACATTATATATAAATTAGTAAAAAAAGACATTATAGATACACAAGTAAAAGGCATTATAGATACACTTGTAAAAAGACTTTATAGATTGACTAGAAAAAAAGACAATAGATTGACTAGTAAAATTAGTTTTCCGCATGTAGCCTTGGTCAACAATAGGGATAAGTTAGAATATAATCTTCAAATATGGTATTGCATTAGCTCATTTTTTAATATTATGCTATACATCTATTTTTGTATAAATGCAAATTTAGTAGCGTTAATTATTAATTAATTTAAGACCGCCCACCTTTTTCACACCTGTCACCAAATAGACCGGAGACACACCCTTCGAGACAGTTTCCCGTCACGTGATGGCACGCCCTGTTGAGACAGTTCTTGGAGCAGTAGGACTGACAGCCCGGACCGTGGGTGCCTTTAGAACATTCTGGAAGGACGATTGGTTACATGGAAATAACTGGGCAATGTATGTATGTCTACTCACCTGTCGCACCTGTCTACTTAACTGTCTAACCTGTACCGCATGCCTACTCCTGTCACACTTGTCTATTCCCCTCACACACCTGTCTACTCACCTCTATCACACCTGTCTACTCACCTGTCTACTCACCTATCTACTCATCTGTCTACTCAAGTGTCACACATGTCTAAACACCTGCACAACCTGTCAACTCACCTGTCACACATGTGTACTCAACTGTCTGTTCACCCATCACACCTGACAACTGACCTAAAACACATGTCTACCTACCTGTCATACCTGTCTACTCACATGTCCCACCTGTCTACTCACCTGTCCAACTAATTTACTCACCTATCACACCTGTCTACTCACCAGTCCCACATGTCAACTCACCTATTACACCTGTTTAATCACTGTCACACCTGTCTACTGACCTATCACACCTGTCTACTCACCTATCACACCTGTCTACTCACCTATCACCTGTCTACTAACCTGTCGCATCTGTCTACTCATCTGTCACACCTGTCTACTCACCTGTCACACCTGTCTACTCACCTGTCCAACTAATTTACTCACCTGTCACACCTGTCTACTGACCTATCACAATTGTCTACTCACCTGTCACACCTGTCTACTGACCTGTCACACCTGTCTACTCACCTGTCACACCTGTCTACTGACCTATCACAATTGTCTACTCACCTGTCACACCTGTCTACTGACCTGTCACACATGTCTACTGACCTATCACAATTGTCTACTGACCTGTCACACCTGTCTACTGACCTGTCACACATGTCTACTGACCTATCACAATTGTCTACTCACCTGTCACACCTGTCTACTCACCTGTCACACCTGTCTACTCACCTGTCACACCTGTCTGCTCATCTGTCACACCTGTCTACTCACCTGTCCAACTAATTTACTCACCTGTCACACCTGTCTACTGACCTGTCACACATGTCCACTGACCTATCACAATTGTCTACTCACCTGTCACACCTGTCTACTCACCTGTCACACCTGTCTACTCACCTGTCACACCTGTCTGCTCATCTGTCACACCTGTCTACTCACCTGTCCAACTAATTTACTCACCTGTCACACCTGTCTACTGACCTGTCACACATGTCTACTGACCTATCACAATTGTCTACTCACCTGTCACACCTGTCTACTCGTCTGTCACACCTGTCTACCCACCTGTCACACCTGTCTACCCACCTGTCACACATGTCTACTCACCTGTCTACAAACCTGTATCACCTGTCTACACACCTGTCCCACCTGTCTACTCACCTCTTTCACACCTGTCTACCCACCTGTCACACCTGTCTACCCACCTGTCATACATGTCTACTCACCTGTCTACAAACCCGTATCACCTGTCTACACACCTGTCCCACCTATCCTCACACCTGTCCCACCTGTCTACACACCAGTCCCACCTGTCTACCCACCTGTACCACCTGTCTACTCACCTTTTACACCTGTCTACTCACCTGTCACCACGTCTACACACCTGACCCACCTGTCTACTCACCTCTATCACATCTGTCTACTCACCTCTATCACACCTGTCTACTCACCTCTATCACACCTGCTCCCCACGTACCCAGGAACACACCCCTCCAGACAGATGGCCGATACGTGATGACATGCACTATTAGTGCAGTTACTTGAACAGGCGGAGCTACAGTTTACTCCGTAAAAGCCTCGATCACAGTCTATAGACAGATACAATTAAAAACATCATTGTAAAAATCTTCCTTAATTCTTACATTATTTAATTTTAAATAAAACCCAATAAAGATAAATAGGTATAGTGTGTACGAATTGTTTCTGTCGTATGGCTGGGAAACAACTTATATACAGATATACGTATCTACATATATATATATATATATATATATATATATATATATATATATATATATATATATATATATATATACAAACATATATATATATACATAGATATATATATATATACATATATATATATATATATATATATATATATATATATATATATATATATATATATATATATATATATATATATATATATATATATATATATATATATATATATATATATACATATACATATATATCTACATATATATATATATATATATATATATATATATATATATATATATATATATATATATATATATATATATATATATTATATATATATATATATATATATATATATATATATATATATATATATATATATATATATATATATATGTAACTAGGGTAGTTACCATACTATGGTTAACAACGTATTACAGTCTGATGCAACTGATAACGATCATAAAGCCACGGCGTATTTTGGAAGGATACGACAAGCCGCTGTCAACTTTGACACGACTTGGCTGATGTAACAGTGCAGGTGTTCTATTGATCGGACTGATGAGACAACTGCGTAGTAATCGGAAGGCGAGATATTCGGATTGAACATAACTATGATAGAACCGAATACGATTACGAATACGAAGGGATATATAGGAAGGCGACGGCTGAGAACAGGAGAGTGGGGATGGATCAGTCAGTCAGTCAGTAAGAGGAGTATCAGAGACAGTGACAGGATCAGTATCAAGTTGGTTATTGAACGGGTTAGCCGTATTGTGTTAATAAGGACGATAGACATGTGCATTCAGTTATGAGACTAGTGAGGACTGTTGGGGGTCAGTTGATTCAGACTATTATTGTGAAGCATTTCTTTTGATTCATTATATTATTGTGAAGCATTTCTTTGATTCATGTAATAAAAGGATCAATAGTGAACCTGCATCTTCGAGTATCTATACTGTGGTCGATGTTGTGTAGAATGAGTGGTTAGACTCGTTAACATTTGGCACTACAGGCAAATAGACTCGTTACATTTGGCGTTGTCGAGCAGAAGATGCAACTACGCTCGGTCACATTTGGCGCTGCGGACAGGATGATTCAATTAGACCAGCCGCTTTGGGCACCCATTATCAACCTAGATTCAGTTCATAACTGTGTTTCGTGTGTGTGTGAATTCGGACATTCAGGAACAGTGAAAATTGAGGAACGAGGAAAATTTTTCATACACACACGGTAAGAAAGGTCTTTTCTTTTTTTACTCAAGGAATAAAAATTATAATGTCTACTCTGGACGAGAAGCAGACCCATATTGTGGTCCTGCCCAGAGAGTCCCACATTAACAAATTTTACGGGGACGGTGATCCAGCTTTAACCAACAGGTTCAGTGAAGAGGTCAAAGCGGCCTGGGCCTCGAGATACATGTCACCAGAGGAAAGATTAAGACTGCTGATGGGCAGTATAGGAGAGACGGTTAGGGCAGAGGTCAAATGCCACGATAAAACCATCCAATCAGATCCAGATAAGGTGCTGGATCTAATTATGGAGACCTTTGGGGAGAGACGGTCGGGATCGCAACTGCTATCGGGGTTCGTAGGCTTAAAGCAGAGAATGGCGGAGAGTGTGATGGAGTATTCACACCGAATGAACAGGGCCTTTGATTCGGTAAAGGGCAAAACACCTGACATTGATGTGCGCCTACTGAGGGACCATTTCATCGAGGGGCTAGCAACCCCGATCTTAAGGAGAGAGTTGAAAGAAGAGGTCTACAAAGACCCGCAGTTGACCTTCCTTCAGGTCAGGAACTCAGCAGGTCCGAGGATGAGGACCAATCGAACTGTTCGGTAGAGAAAGTCTCTGTGCCGGAACAGAAACAATCCCCACCCACAGGGACCGGCACGATGGAAACCATGATGGCTCAACTGTTGGCCCACCTGGATAAGGTTGACCAACGATTGGAGAGGTTAGAAAGCAGGGCAACAGCTGAGAATCAGGGCAAAAACGGGACAAAACAGGGACAGGTTGGACAGCCGCGACCTGCCGGTCCATCGCTCCGGTGGACGGCTGAAGGTCGACCAATTTGCTTGTCCTGCTCACAACCCGGACATATGGCACGGTACTGTCCGGTGAAACGATCGCCCTCTGTAAGGCAGGTCAAGGCTACAGAGCGGCGAGGTTATGGCGTAAGAAACAAAAGGAAACAAACAATGAAAGAGTCTCAAACAAGACTCGAAGAGAAATTATCAGATATTGAAAAAATGAACTGTGAAATGAACTTGAATGTTGAAAAGTTTCAAGTGAACAATTTGTTGGCTAAGAAGAAAAATGATGATAAGGAAGAAATTGGTAGACTCAATAATGAGATCTCAAGGTTAACCATGAAACTGGGTAGCGAAAGTTCATGCAAATTAAAAGCACAGGAGAAATGTTCATCTTTAGAGTGTCTGTTATCTGAAGAAGAAAATAGAAAATTTGTACCTGGTTTTGCAAAAATTGCCGCACCGTTGCATGACTTGGTAAACAAAATGACAAAGAAACACAGTAAGGAGAAAAAGAAAGGCAAAACACAACTGATAGGTGAATTATGGACTGAGGAATGCCTGAACTCGTTTAAGCTACTGAAAAATGCTTTGACAGAGGCGCCGATATTAGGATACGCAGACTTTGACAAACCATTTCGGCTAGAAATTGACGCCAGCTCTAAAGGTCTGGGAGCTGTGCTATCACAACAACAAGAGCAAGGTTTCAGGGTTATTGCGTATGCCAGTCGAGCTCTGAAGGAATCAGAGAAGAACATGACAAATTACAGCGCCATGAAACTAGAACTTTTGACATTAAAATGGGCTGTGACTGAAAAATTCAGGGACTATCTATTAGGTGCTAAATGTGTGGTATACACTGACAATAACCCCCTCAGTCACCTAAAGACAGCAAAGTTGGGATCCATCGAACAGCGATGGGCAGCAGAATTGGCACTCTTTGACCTGGAGATAAAATATCGCCCGGGGCGGTCCAATGGCAATGCGGACGCCTTATCAAGGAATCCTTACGAGAGACCGGGCGATGAGGAAGAAACGCTGACAGGAATATGTGAGGTCAGAGCGTCAACAGATATCCCTCACGGGGTGCAAGTGATGCAAAACTGGCAGACCGGGGTGGAGCACATATCCACAGAGCCCGGACATATGGACATTAGTGATTTTAATTGCCTTAATCACAAAGAGATAAGAGATGCCCAGAGAACGGATAGTGGCTTACAGCCGCTGTTGAAACACGTCCAGGAACAAAAATTCCCAATAAGAAGGGAAAGAGAACAGTTTGGTCGGGAAACAAAGAAACTACTGAGTCAGTGGGACCGTCTCAGTATAAAGGATGGTGTTCTCATGCGGAGAATTCATGACCAAATAGATGGGACAATACACCAGGTGGTGGTGCCTGGACAGTTACGAGAAGAAGTGCTAAGGTTGGCACATGACAGGGCAGGACACCAGGGTCAGGACAGGACGCACAAAATATTACGACGGAGGTGTTACTGGCCCAATATGGAGATGGAGGTCAAACGCCATTGTGAGGCTTGTGTGAGGTGTCAGCATGCGAAAATGCCAGTTGTTAAAATGAGACAGCCATCAGGACACTTACTGGCGACAAAACCACTAGAGATTGTGGCTATGGACTTTACGTCGTTGGAGCAATCATCGGATGGGACGGAACATGTGTTGGTAATGACTGATGTATTCACCAAATGGACTGTTGCGGTGCCCACACGAGATCAGACGGCCAAAACAGTGGCAAAGGTCTTAATAGAACATTGGTTCATCAAATATGGCATACCAAGACAATTACACTCTGACCAAGGAAGGGCCTTTGAGTCAGAAGTAATTAACCAACTGTGCAGCCACTACGGGATCAACAAATCTAGAACAACCACATTTAATCCGAAAGGAAACGGACAGTGCGAGCGGTTCAACCGCAGCATGCATGATTTGCTGCGTACTCTAGAACCTGAACAGAAAAAACGTTGGCCTGATTTTCTCCCAGAGTTGGTATATCTATACAACTGCACCCCCCATGCCACAACCGGCTTTTCGCCACACATGTTACTGTTCGGACGGGAGGCTCGACTCCCTCTTGACTTGTTCCTAGGGAAAAAGGAAAGTATGACTGGCTCATACACCGCACTAGAATATGTGAATGAACATATGAGACGAATTAGAGAAATGTACAGGGTAGTACAGGAAAGACTAGAACATGAAGCACGGCGAAGGGAACCGCCGGTACAGACAAAGGACCCGCCACTCAAACTGAACGACAGGGTATTACTGCGTAGCCACCCGTTAGGCAGAAACAAAATCCACGACCTCTGGGGACAGGAGATATGGCAAGTCGTGGAGATGCCTAAAGTAGCAGGTGGCCCCTTTAAGATAAGACCCATCAATCACACCAAACCGGATCGGTGGGCGAATATTGCTCAATTAAAGAAATATTGGCATAGTCAAGAAGAGCAGTTACACACAAGGAAACCTAAGACAATTAGGGAACCGGAAACTATAACGGAAATTCACATACCCATCCCGGAACCATGTCACCATCAACAGCACAACAGCGATACACAAGTGGAGGATAACGGCAACAAAGAGGATCCCGTTCCTCCCAGAAGCAGAGAGACAGTAGACCATCAGATAAGTGGTCCGCGGAGAAGTTTGAGAAACAGAAAGAATACGAAATTTTTCGTCAGCAACCATCAATTCTTTCATGGTCGCGCTGGTATGAGAACAGACTGTTCAAATAGTCATAAAAGTGAACTGGTGAAGGCACCAAACGAAAAAAGGTGGATGTGAATTCTAGAACTGCTTTGTGTCTGAGGAATATGATGAAGACACATTTGATATGTGAAATGGGGATAACTGTCAATCTTTTACGAATGTGACGACATTGACAGTGAGTGGAACAATAATTTTTAGCGCAATTTCCATTCTGGAGAATTGCGTTTATTAACGCGTCATTTCTGGATGGATGGATGGATGGATGAATGTATGGATGAATGTGTGTCCGGGCTTTAAGTCGTATCTCCTCCTCAACGAAGCAATATCGATGACTAGTTCCAAAAGCAATTATGTTAAGCAAGTTACAAGAATGAGCATAGGCCATAAAAATTCCGGGTTTCTTTCATGTATTTCCCGGAAAAGCCAAAAAACCTCGAAAAAAAGCAGTTTTTGGCCCATATCTCGTCAACCAGACCACTTAGCGACTTGAAACATGTACCAATCGATTCCTGCCATAATTTAGAGCAATATTGCCGAAGAAAGTTTTCAAAAATATCCTCTCGTTTGGTCACAAATTTTAAAATTACAAAAACACCTACAAACCGATTGTTCTTCTAGCTTGAACGCATCCCAGCATTATACGTCAGAGCTATTTTTAGATAACATAAGGAAATTGCGCATAAATGTCACTAGACTTTTTTAATTAACTTGTTTTTTTACGGCGGTGCTTTTGACTTTGAAGGAGTGCACCTGCCAAGCGTTGTTTGTGGTTGAAAACACACAAAAAAAAGGCGGGGGTGGATGTAACTAGGGTAGTTACCATACTATGGTTAACAACGTATTACAGTCTGATGCAACTGATAACGATCATAAAGCCACGGCGTATTTTGGAAGGATACGACCAGCCGCTGTCAACTTTGACACGACTTGGCTGATGTAACAGTGCAGGTGTTCTATTGATCGGACTGATGAGACAACTGCGTAGTAATCGGAAGGCGAGATATTCGGATTGAACATAACTATGATAGAACCGAATACGATTACGAATACGAAGGGATATATAGGAAGGCGACGGCTGAGAACAGGAGAGTGGGGATGGATCAGTCAGTCAGTCAGTAAGAGGAGTATCAGAGACAGTGACAGGATCAGTATCAAGTTGGTTATTGAACGGGTTAGCCGTATTGTGTTAATAAGGACGATAGACATGTGCATTCAGTTATGTGAAGACTAGTGAGGACTGTTGGGGGTCAGTTGATTCAGACTATTATTGTGAAGCATTTCTTTTGATTCATTATATTATTGTGAAGCATTTCTTTGATTCATGTAATAAAAGGATCAATAGTGAACCTGCATCTTCGAGTATCTATACTGTGGTCGATGTTGTGTAGAATGAGTGGTTAGACTCGTTAACATTTGGCACTACAGGCAAATAGACTCGTTACATTTGGCGTTGTCGAGCAGAAGATGCAACTACGCTCGGTCACATATATATATATATATATATATATATATATATATATATATATATATATATATATATATATATATATACATGTATATATACATGTACATATACATATATAGACCTACACACAAACATACATACATACAACTACCCCCTCCCCGCGCACATTCACAATTTCAAGATGTCATTAAGTTCTTATTATTTTTAGATTATTACGTCATATAACTTTAGTTTCTTTGAACTATTTTGATGCTTTAACATCAGAAACGTATATAATGTCTGACTGTTTCAGCATGTTCAGTTTCATTTGTAACACTTTGTTCACAACTTACTAGTTTCGCAGTTATCCCCCTTAAACCCAGGCGTGCAGCCTCGAGTACAGGCCCCTGTCACGTGATTACACTCGCGGTTCTCACACTTGACTGAGCAGAGGTACCCACACTGGGGTCCGTAGAAACCATCACTGCACGCTTTAATGAAAAATATATATGTATATATAAATTTGTTACATATTTATACACGTTTGGTCAATGAATAGAATAATTTTTTGTTCTTTTTACTTTCAGTTAGTTGCTGCGTATTTGACTATGCAGGTCTTTGATGGTAGTATATGAAACCTAAAGTACAATGTACTCAATTATGTTGGAGGGAAATTCAAAACTACAATTAAAAACGAAGAAGAAGAACCAATAGATCAAGGTACTCATTAGCGCTGAGGGGGCTCAGTCTAAACGGGAAACGAACTCCAGTGTCCTGAATCAATGTACCATGACGTGCTACTTGAAAAAAAAATCTTGAAATTAAATTAAAAAATATTCTTGAGGTATTAAAAAGACTCTTGATTTTTCATAGCTAAATAATAAAAAAAAAAATGAATTGTTTTCAAAACGTTTGTTTTTGTTATTTAGTATCACTATATTTACTATAGTGCAAAAAAGTGAAAATGCTTCATAACTCTGCTATAAAGAAGGTATAGGGTAATCATGGTATACATTAATTATAACATTTTAAAAAAAAATGATCTTACTCATATCACAGTTGTCCCCCCTGTAACCATCGACGCAGCCCTCGTTACATTTCCCTGACAACGGGTCGCAGTGTTGGTTAGCACAGGCTGTAGAGCAGGGCGTGGTGCACCCAGCACCGTAGTACCCGGTCGGACAGCCTGTGGGGGCGGGGGGGGGGGACACACAATTTAGGAAAAAATAGTATTAGTGCAAGAGCTTGGCGCATACATAAAGGTTAGGGCAAATATAGTTTTGTTGAAACATGTTATGGACGTAGACAATAAGGGTTGGACAGCTACATCAATGAATTAGCAACATATGGGAACAATTTAAATCTGTGAAACAAAAAATAAATTAGCAACCAAAGAGCCCTTGTTGCAATGAATCTGCAAGAAATAAATCAGATATCGCTCAAGACCCCCCCCCCTCCCATATATTATAATCTGAACTAATGAAATCATACCTTAGTCAAAGGTACCCTACTTATTTTAATATGCATTAATAAAATTACACAGATTTCTACGGCCCTCTATTTCGTTTAATCTACAACACTGAAATCACACAGCAGTTAAGGGCTCAGATGTCAATATGGCTGTTAAGTAGGTCACCAACAGTTCTATGGCTCATGCAGATTTATTGAGCCGTAGAGCTGGTTGGTGACCTACTTACCAGCCCTATTGTAAATCTAAACCTACACCAAACAAGGTACGTAACACTTACTGTTCGTGCACAGGTCGCCTTGAAATCCGGCCGTGCAGCCGTGAGTACAATGTCCAGTCACGCGATCACACTCGAGTTCCACACACTGAGGTGAGCACGTGCTGTTGCAGTTTGGTCCGTACGTTCCTTGAGCACATTCTACAGTGCGTGTGAGTAAACACAGTTTTTACAAAATACATCATCTGTTGTTATCTTACAAGATATAAACCCTAAACGAAATCAAACATGCAGTGTGGACACAAAAAGGAGAAAACAAGTGAATCAGAAGCAGATGGAATGTCGTGGATCAACTTGGAAGAATCACCCAGAACAGAGTAAGGTGGAATGGTGTGGTTGCGTACCTATGCTACACAAGGGATACACAGGAATGATGATGATGATTATGACGTAAAGAAAATAACTAATGCTGAAGCTATATATATAACTTTACATTAATCATTTATAGAATTAATAAACTAAAATAGTTAAAATATGTCTATACATGCTTGCAAAAAATAGAGTGCTGAATGCTACACCATTATACTAGTTCTTATACTAAAACCACATTTTTTACAACTACAATTCACATATTTCTGGTAAAATAAAAATTCAAACCTTCTCTACAGTGGTCTCCCTTGTAGCCGGAAATACACCCATCCAGGCACTGTTTCGTCACAGAATTACATTTCCCGTGAGCACATTGGTCAGGGCATGCTGGTACATCAACACAATTTTAAATTATACATTTTTATTCAAACTACTAACATTTATTTTATGCTAATCCATGTAAATTGTTCACGATATAAATCTATGTTATGATTTTCAACTTAATTATTTAATTTTTTTTCAAGACATTTCATGCGTTCCTCTTAAACATAATTACGTAATTATCATTGAAACAATATTTCTATCATTCTACTTTCGTTCTGATAATATCTAATAATAATGTTAACTTTTACAAGGTTGAATTAAATTAATTATTATATACTTCATGTTATTGTCTTCAGTTATTTTTTTTTCTTATCAATGAATCAATCAAGGAATATTTTTCCTTAAGTCCTAAATTTAAAGTACGTTTTGAGCAATGCATAGGCTATGTTATACAATAGAGACTAAACAAGGCGAGGGTATCCAATCACCATACAATAAACACTAAATAAGGGGAGTGTATTCACTCACTAAATAATTGGATGGCATCCACTCACTAAATAAGGGGAGGTTATCCACTCACCGTTGTCACACTGGTCGCCACGGAAACCTGGCAGACACCCTTCCTGGCATGTTCCGTTGACCGGATAACATCTGTTGTTGACGCAATTGGCCGGACATTTTTCCTGGCAGTTGGTGCCGTAATATCCGCTCTGGCAGTCTGCGTAGGAATATATTTTTGATCTTTTAAATTGAAAAGTCTCACTCAAATTGAAGAACTTTTGGTCTCGGTATTTTCTATGTAGACCTATATCTTCATTTAAGGACGGCGTGGTTGAATAGTCGAGTGCTCTGAGAGTTCGACTGCTAGCCCGCAACTCTCGAGTTCACGATCCAGACTCAAGATTACAAGAGGTTGGGGAAAAAAATGTGGCTGGGCATAATGCTGTCTACACTGTGCTATGGTCAAGCAACATAAAGACTCAACCTTATATGCCTCATTAGTTCTGTAAAGGGTACTCTACTTTTTGAAATAACTTTGTTAATGAGATAAATAGGACTACTATTGACAAGAATGGACTAAAAGCGCGTTCGACAATCTCTGGCTCTAGCGCTGTTTTAGGCTATTTGAGCCCTACAGCATCTATCTCACTATCAGTGTTTCTTCCAGACCATTTCCTCCGGGGCGGGAGGGGGGGGGGGGAGGGGGCACTTCAAATTTCGGGGGGGGGGCGGATTACATTTTCCGGGGGGGGGGGGGGGAGGGGGGAACACTGTAAAAAGTAAACATTCTCTATATAAATTCCATTTCGTATAGGGGGGAGGGCGTTAAACGTTTTTCGGGGGGGGGGGGGTGGCTCCGAATCCCCCAAGAGATGCCTGGAAGAAACTCTGTTTACTATTAGCTCCAAATGCACCACAAACATTAAGCACCCCATATCAAATCTAATCTATATTGCTTAATATCAAATATGCATTAACATATAGAAACTCTAAATATCCCATAATAAATCCTCAATAACTCATTTCAAAGTCTGCATTAACCCATATCAAGGATACATTAAAACTAATATTACATCTGTATTAACCAGGTACAAAACTACCTTTGCTTTCGTTGCAATGTTTTCCAATAAATCCAGGCACACATCCATTTTTACAACTTCCTGTCACGTGGTCACACCCACCGACGTTGCAATTGGCTGGACATGGTGTAGAACATTTTCCGCCATAGAACATATCCTCGCAAACTGGCCAGATTAATTTCATTCATTAAAAATATGGTGTAAGTATTTAAATGTATGATTTTATATTTTGTGGGGGTGGTTTAGTCAATAAAACTTGTGTTATGTAAGACTTGATATCGTAGTTCGCATTTTCCGATACGATTCATTTGGCAGGTGAAGTAGAGTACACCTTAAAAAATTTAAGCTAATGCAGTGATTGTTCTATAACTATTATGTTGATTAATTTTTCAAGTTGTTGACGATTACTGCTCTACTTATTGACAATACTGTGTGTACTTAGTTGACTAAATGGTAAATATTTAACATGTGTTTTAAAAAATTGATCTTACTCATATCACAGTTGTCCCCCCTGTAACCATCGACGCAGCCCTCGTTACATTTCCCTGACAACGGGTCGCAGTGTTGGTTAGCACAGGCAGTAGAGCAGGGCGTGGTGCACCCAGCACCGTAGTACCCGGGCGGACAGCCTGTGGGGAGGGGGTGGGGGGGGGGGGGCAGGGCGAAGGGAGAGAAAATAAAAATATTAATATCACACACAAATAATTTCATTTGAGCATACTTTAGACGGGTAGGCCTATATCAAGATTAGACCAGATAAATTAGAGTCCCCAACACATGAGTTTGATTGTTGAATTTTCCATTGAAATAAAATCTTACATACGGTTCGTCTTTAGATGTAGCTATGATGTGCGTTGATATTTTTAAAGCACACCCCATCCCACCGTTTCCAACACATCCCAACATCTCTCATATTGTCAATGAATGCCAGCCCCCCCCCCCTCCCCTTCTAAAAGCAAGAAAATCTTTGCTTAAATAAGCCTACGAAATATAATTTTTCTATTGATATATTCATAATCGTGATAGCTAATGTAAGAAAGTCAAGACAACTTACTTTCATTACAGTACTCTCCCTTGTACCCGTCTATACAGCCAGTATTGCAGGTGCCAGTCACGTGGTCACAGCCGCCATTGTTACAGTTCGAGGAGCAAGCGGAAGTACAGTTGTCACCATAGAAACCTACGTCACACGCTGACGACAAGAGAAGCAAATTGTATCAGATAAGATGTCAATTAGATATTTAATTAGTAATTTTTAAACGATAATTGAATTTGAACCAAACATTTTTAAATAGAATTTTTAAAATGCTAATTCAGCTGCGTAGCAACGGATTAAAAAAAATTATGAAAATAATGTCACATAATTGTATGAAAACGCAGTCAAATGAAACTATAATTAAACAATAAATTGTATAGTATTGAACAAGAGTTGCCACGATTTGTTGAGAGTCATGACATAGATAAAACTAAGCTGATATTTTCATTACCATCAGTGTTTCTTCCAGACTTTTTTTTCCGGGATGGCACTTGAAATTTTCGGGGGAGGGGCGGTAGACTTTCTTTAGGTGGGGGGGGGGGGGGGCGGTCACTGTTAAAAGTATATATTTTCTATATAAATTATATAAATTTCATTTCGTTGGGGGGGGGCGGTAGAATTTTTTCGGGGGGTTCGGGGGGGGGGCGAACCTAAGAGATGCCTGGAAGAAACTCCGATTACCATAGCGAGCTTCATTGCACTATAGATAGGATTGTAGTTGGGAGAACAAATGTCCCTTACTTTCATTGCAGTGATCTCCCTTGAACCCGCCTATACATCCATCGTGGCACGCGCCAGTCACGTGGTCACAGCGGCCATTGTTACAGTTCAAAGGGCAAGCGGAAGTAGTACTCGTGTTACACCCCTCTCCCTCAAAGCCCATCACACAGCCGTTTATACAACTTCCGTTCACGTGATCACAGACGCCATCTTGGCAGTTTAATGAGCAGTTCATCAAGCAGTTGGATCCATAGAATCCTCTATCACATGCTTAAAAACAATTATAATAAATTATTCTTTTTTCTTCGTATATACCATTCTTCTGAGACGGCGTGACTGTGGTAGAGCGCACAAGTGCTAACTCGAAAGTCTCAAGTTCGGATCTTGGTCGGCTCCGAGCCCACCCAGCGCTATAGGGTACCCAACGCATGTTAGGGAAAGTTAAGGCTGCTGGACATAATGCTGACCATTCTATCACTTCTTATTTCGTGGTCACGGACACAGATGAACTCTACTTCATCTACCCTAGTGACAATCAGGTTTGAAAAGGTAACTCACGTTGTTATATCCTGATATACTATAGGCTCATTTTTCTTCTAGGCTTGCATTGAAAGCTATCCATTTAAACGTCAGACAAGTATGCCGTATCCACAATATTTATATAACTACATCTTAACCCCCCCCCCTACCTAACTCGAGAACATTTACGCGTTATAAGTATAAACTGTTATTTCAGGATTGAATTAAATGCTATCCATTAAAACAACAGTTGATTTTGGCATGTCCTCAAATTTTGTATTCACGACGTAAACACTTGTAACCATTCTCTTTCAAAACCTAAAGCTGCACTCCAAAATCAAACAACTGCTGTCTTGTAGTTTGCTCTTGGTTGAACAAAGGCTATCAGTGTTTCTTCCAGACTTTTTTCTCCGGGGGGGGGGGGGCACTTGAAATTTTCGGGGGGTGGGGAGGGGGAAGGCGGTAGACGTTCTTCGGGGGGGGGGGGGGGGCGGACACTGTTAAAAGTATATATTTTCTATATAAATTATATAAATTTCATTTCGTTCGGGGGGGGGGGGGGGCGGTAAAACTTTTCGTTGGGGCTTTGCCCCCCCCCCCCCCCCCCGAAGAGATGCCTGGAAGAAACTCTGTAGGCTATGGAAGCAAATCCAAAAAGTAAAGCAGGCTGAAATCGGAGTCAGCCGCTTATGTTGAGCATAACAAGTTGACACGTATACTTAATTGTGTTGGAGGGGGATCCCTTCCAACACTAAAATTAAGAACAAAGAAGAAGAAACCCTACAGCTTACAATGCACTTAACTATGACGTCACGCTTCTCCAATACACATTTCTTATCTACGTACATTAGCGGCGCCTGCACTCGCTCGTAATGTTAAGAATAATACAGTGCAATGACCTGCAGTTCTGAGGCGATCCAAGAGTTTACTCAGCTAAAATAAGTACTCATCATTAATTGGAGGAGTCTAGATTGCAACTGGGTATGTTTTGGAGAAAAATCTTTATCGCCTCCTTTAGATCATTAAATCGGATTAGGTAGAATTCTCTGACCTCGGTATTTGAAGGGATAGTATGGTCATTTCTTTGTCCAGCAGCTTTAAATATCTTTGACTAGGAGTCAGAAAGTTGTTTCAGCAGAGCACTCTCATGCACATCCTACTGACTCCAGTTCGGGGAACTGAACGTGAGCAGTCGTAAGGTCTATGGCACAAACACACGGTCTATGGCACAAACACACGGTCTATGGCACAAACACACGGTCTATAACACAAACACATGGTCTATGGCACAAACACACGGTCTATGGCACAAACACATGGTCTATGGCACAAACATACGGTCTATGACACAAACACATGGTCTATGGCACAAACACACGGTCTATGGCACAAACACACGGTCTATGGCACAAACACACCGTCCAAGACAACATTTAATTCAATGTTAACACAAAATGTGCATTCTAAACAATCTATTGACAAAAATAATGAAATTTGTTTACGTTTTTTTAAATTAGTTTTGGAGATGTTGTTGGTGTTTTTGGCATTTATCAGACAAGCCATGCTCATCACTTAGGCAAAAGTTAAAAAAGAAACTGGTAATTTTTAACATTATACGTGCAGTTTTCAATTTCTTATTGTTGTCTGTTGCTGTAGATACCGTATTGTAACTTTTCAAAATGTTGTCTCTCTGTTGCTTTACAAGATTCCTTCATCTCTGATTGTATTATTCTTCTTCTTCTTCTTCGTTCTTAATTTTTGAATCCGACAATTTTAGGGCAGAAAAAGAAGCTTTAGAACACGCAGCAAACCTCCTGTCAGAACACCCTGAATCACCGAATAGTCAGATTGTATTTCTTACAGATGCCAAATCAGTCCTGCAATCCCTACAAAATCCAGAGTCCTATATTCAAACACTTATGACAGCACTAGAGAAGCTAAAAAATACCTGATTGTATTATGACATAGATGAATATTCCTCAAGGGTTTGTTTCTTCTGGAGAGGGGGGTGGGGTGGAATAGACACTTGAAACTTTAGGTGTGTCGTCGGACAATAATTAAATTATGTGTGTGTGTGAGGGGAGGGGGAAGTGCAATGATTCCCCAGACAAACGCCTGAAAGAAACACTATCTCCCCTAACCCTAACCTTATTCAACAAGACGCCGTCGTCTTGAATCATCCCATAACCAAACATCACAGTGTATCATCACATTCAGAAACAAGGTTGAAAGCCATTGGACCGTGACTTACTCTCGTTACAAAGTTGACCGAGGTAGCCGTCTTGACAGCCCAGCAGACACGCGCCACTGGTGACGTCACAAGCGGAAGTGATACAACCCACACTGCACTCCGTCGTGCAGTTAGTGCCGTAAAAACCCACGGGGCGTGCTGAGAAAAAAAAATATTACAAAACTCGTAATTTTTCGTAATGTACATTCATTGACATTTAATAATTGGTTCTGTACCTGACGTTAGAAGGTGATGTCGCCTTTGAGCAATAAGTACGAACATCTTAATATATATTTGAACCTGGCCGTATGCTTAAAGGAGATGTTACTAAGTACAAATAACCGAATTCGCATTTTCTTTAGGGCGGTTCAATTATCATATTTATAATCGGCGTCCCTTATGAAGTTAAATTTATAAACCAAAGGTTATATCTAAATATTTCTAAATATTTCGCATGTATTAGCATTAACATTTTATAAATTCTTAACATTGATAACTTCATGGGGTTGGGGGGGGGGTGGGCGAACACTGGTAAAAGTATTTTTTTCTATAGAAATTCCATTTCGTTCGGGGGAAGGGGGGGGAGGGGTTGAGCCCCCCACCCCCCCGAAGAGATGTCCGGAAGGAAATTTGTGTATGGGGTTGATTAGGCTAAAGAGCGAGTTCACACAAGTAGTGGGCCTTCACTAGATGGAGAAATACTTGAGGAGTTTTGTTAATAATATAAAATGCACTGTTCTGATCGTCGACTTCAGTGCAAAAATATCTGGCGAGGTAATTAGTTATCACACGAAACGTGAAGACTGCTGGTTAATGAAATGCACGTGAGGAAGCCGTGGTGAATGAATGAGATCACGTGATGCGTCAGGTAAAACCACAGGTGAGTCAGATAGACAGTCATAGAACTGTTGAGTTGCATTAACCTAATTAATTCCTCAGCAACTACCTAAAGTCGACCTGCGTTGGGTTGGTGTGGTCGGGTCGTTAAAGCTCATGGCTACCAAACCGAAAAATCTCGAGTTCAAGCCCCTGGGAGATGAGGCTCGATAGTTGTGGGACACCAACCCGTCTAGGAGAGATGTCATGTAGTTTGTTCTTGGTTG